TAGGGAGATTTAAAGGAAGTATTTGCCATTTGTTCATCATGCACTGTAAAAAAGCACTGTAAAAAAGCTTTTTATTTGTTTTTGCTGCTGTTTATAGCTCAACTGTATTTGGCATCAATATTCACAAGGTACAAAATGCCCTCTCACCATACAAAAGCAATTTCTTTGCTCTTGTTGTTGTGTAGGAGTGGAACGATGAGCAGAGTTGTGTAAAGTTGCAGATAAAGCTACAGTGTATGTTTGTATATTAATGTGTTAATTATTTGTGGGCTTGTACATCTCTCTGTTACCTTTACATGTTAGCTTAAGAACCTGTCAGCTTGTTCCGACAACCACAACTAACACACCGCTTTTACATCAGACAAAGTTATTGTAAGGTTGCTAATAAACTACCACAGTGATACAAATGTTTTGGTGAAGAGATAATCAGTACTTTGATGCAGAGCTATTCAGGGTTCTCACTCAGGACAGAATCCCACTGTTCAGCAAAACATTTTCTGTGCATTTCTTAAGAAAGACACTAACAATATACTTACGAATTCTGCCACACACAGGGTACGAGGTAGCCTGGCTGGGCCATCCTGTTGCGTGGATCACTTGCCGTTCCTTCCCAGTCTGGACCTCGGCCCATTGGGAGAATGTATTCCCGATCAGAAAATAACCGGGCCAATCAGAGACTGTGTTTCCACTGTTACCCGGACAACAGGGAAAGGCAGCCCCTGATTGGTCCATGTGTATAGATGGTGACGTCTAACACATGCTGCGGGACTTTTCAAAGACCTCCAAAACCTTTTTTTTTACTTTTCAAAGTCGCAAAGTGATTGTCACTGGTCGGTTGAAGCAGGACGCCTGTCCTGCTTACTTGGTGTTTGAGTGGCTGGGCCAAAATAGTTGGCTACTTTTGTTGGCACTTGCCGTGCACAGCTGCTTGATGAGGTACGTTGTAAATTGGTCTATATTCCAACCGTTTGGGACTCGGCTACATCTGTTTTGTTGTACTAATAGCCAGTGTCAGTGCGCCCTGCCAAAGGATACCCCCCGCCTTTCAATGAGATCCCAACCCAGAAATTTAAGTCATAGATTACTATATACGTTTAATTTTTCTTTTTATCAAAATGGCAGATAAAATGTAATTTGCACAATTTCAGACTCTACAGCTTGCAATTGTTTTATTACTTTCCACAAAATTGTATCTTTCCACTCTTCTACGACGGACGGGGCTCTCTGTTCGCCCCTCTCTCTACCTCACAACATACACGCGTGCTGACATGATGAGGCGCAGCATGTCAGTACCACTGATTCTGGTCACAAGCGCTTGCCGCTCATACTCTAACAGTTTTGTGCAGCATGATGATAACCCGGGTTCTGGCTCGTTTCAGTTGTGTTTGCTGCCAACAAAACACACTTGAATACTTTGTTTTAGCAGCAATCTAAAATGGATCTTACATGTGGGGGTATAATCTGTTTAACTTCATAGTTCTTGAGGGGGGAAAAGGTGTTTGTAACAGAGTCTTGTGCAAGCAATATAGTAATGACATATTTCTTTATTTGTTATTTTTTTGAATATCATATTATGCATATCATGCTGTGGCGATATCATGTTGAGTTTGATATCCCTGCTTCCTTGGTCAGTTATATTCAGGCACTTAAACAACCTCATAAGTATTGTTTCATATTGTCAGTTAATGTCGGGATATTTTCTCTTACGACAGACAAGATGATTATTTTCAGTTAGTGATAAAAATGTCAACGATACATCTACCTAGCAGTAAAGATATTTAATATCACTGTTGGATACACTAACAGTGGGTGGAGATATGAGAGGGCTTTTTTTAACAGTGGGTGGAGGTATGAGTGGCTGAAAAACCTACTGGAATAATGAAAACAAATGGCACTCGTAAGGGGACAGGTCATGGAACAATGATTTTAATCCTTTTGAAACGAGAGCGCTGTTTGGATAATTCTGTTTAATGTGATCTTAAATAAAAACAGTCTGATCCAAACAGCTGCCAGTGGAAAATATGTGTATTTAATTCTGTTTAATCTGTTATGCCGTAGGAGAAAATTTACAGTGCTTTATTTTCAACATATTTTATTGTATGTGCAGCATATGAGGAATTCACTAGAAATTACCTCATAATAGCCAAAACATAGGTATTGACATAGAGTGCAAAAATAAAAGGCGAATACATAGACTATTGCTCTCTTTAATGCATGTATTAAGCCTCAAGGTTAGCACATGGTCATTGAATGTAGGTTTTCTTGAGCCAGAAGTACCCCCCCCCCCCCCCCAGATCGCCCCCTATCGCCCCCTATCGCCAGAATAGAAATGTATGGGAAGCCCTCAGCAGACCAATAAGTCAGGTAAGGCAAGGGTAGTCCACCAGCTACAACAGAAGTCTTCATCTAAAGTAAATTTGTGAATTGAATAAAAATGTAACCCTGTACAGCTGTAATTAACTTACAGTCTACAGCCAAACGATTGGAACTTGGAGCACCATCTTGTGAAACATAAATTATGACATTATAAAATAATAGTCTGTACATTTTATATTGATGTATTTATTGCCTCTGAAAATTGAGTCTTCCATTCAAACGTGGAAAAAAGATTTGGATTCAACTGTAATGGGCAGTAAAAATTCACAATGTACAGTTTATCAGCTAATCATGCCCCCCAACTTAGGATGCTTTCATTGTCACCTGACCACTGAATGGCACTCTTGAACTCAATGGATTAACGCAGGGAGGACTTTTAACATAAAAATAGGACGTGCTGCAATCAAAGCTGCCAAGACAACCATCAGAGGAGCTCTGTATGGAAGTATTCCGTATTTAACAAGGTTAATAGCTTATAATACCTTAGAATATAGAGATTTTAGGAATATTGAAAATCTCCGACAGAGAAACAGGATTAAGCAGGGCCTCCGGTGAGGGAACAAGTGTCGGCAGACAGGACTCTGAGGCATGAAGCACCTCAGGATCTGTGATGCTAGGCAGCTGAGATCCTGGGGGGCTGGGCAAGTTGCTAGAAGGTTTTTCTGAGCTTTCTTGCTGGGAAACTTACTTAAAGCTATCTGGCCCAGTGCTAGCAAGCCGGATAAGGGTCATCGAGCCACTCAGTTTTACCATAGGCTTTTTTTTTTTTTTTTTAAATTTCCTTGCAATCTGATTGTAATGCTTGTGTTCAGTGTCCTGTTATTTCCACATTTGTCTTAGATGCATTTTCCAAAGAATTGACAAATGCATACTCTGGCATTGAGGACAGAGCCGAGGTAAGGATTTAGTGACCTGACAGGATGAGGAGCTGGCGTGACGAAGAGCACTGATGAAGACAGTCGTGCACCTACATCCTTGTTTCCATTACTTAGCATGTAGGAGTGACTGTCTTCAAAACACTTCCATGCCGACTCCACCTTTTTCATGTGCCTGTTATTTCTGCACAGACCACAACACAAACACAGCACACCCATATCGAACATGCTTTTCAGTCAACCACAAAACAGCAGCGTGTGTGATTTTTTTCCCTCCCTCTCCATTCTGTTATAAAAGTGTCACCCTGTCCTGTCTCCCCAAGTGCACCATCCACGGTCAACTGCAGGTATGGATGCTTTTCATGATGCTTAATTTAACATGCCTCACATAATATTAAGACCATTATCATACTTGTCAAGGTTTATGGCTTATTGCTATCTAGTGCTTCAAGAAATTATTTCAGCTTGTTTTTTTTCAGTAGAGTATACTCTTTGTAAGGGCTTTACAAAAGATGTCAAAGGTGTTAACATTTTGGCATAAAGATATGCATGGATTTTTTTTTTTTTTTTTTTTTTTTGCATTTGTAGTTAAGTTTCAGCTTTAATTGCTTTGATTATTTTATTGTCAAGTATTCATTGAAAAGATTTTACATTTCTAGTTTTTTACTGCATCTATGTGCTCACATTTTTGGGAATAAATTTTCAAAAATCTGAATCAGCATTTTAAATTTTGAGTCACTTCTCAGACCAGCATGCTGAAGTATGACAGAGTGTAAGGGCCACATTCAAAGAAAGTATTTGTAAAAGTTTAGATATTTTTTTTTTTTGAAAGATTTAAAACATTTTTTCCCAGTTGTTTTCTCCCAGGAATAAGGTCCAGGTAAAATTTTACTCAGAGTTGTTAATGTAGTCCATGATTAACCTCACGGTGCTGTTTTGAGGGGAGGACACATGGCTCAGCTTTTCGCTCAGTCCATTGAAAGTCCTGATAATTATAACAATGTGGAGACAAAATATTAGAGGCAATTTAACCAGATGCTCCATATTCCTTTTTTCTGTACAGAAAGCTGGCTGCTCACTGTAAACCCTAACCTCCACTTTACCACCACTTTATTCTCCTAATATTATGACTTTGTTTTTGTGATAATATGACTTTTATGTGAACAAAACTTGGCCACTTGATTTTGCTCTTGTGCCAAAATGCCTCAGAAAAAATAAATAGTTTAACCTTCCAGTGTATTAGTGTGGCACTAATACACTATCATAAGTTCTATATCAATGCAGTAAAACCAGTTTCATGAAAAATATTTGGAAAAATCTATTGAAACAGGAAAGTTGTTGTAAATCAATATTTTTACAAGAATCAAATTGTGATTTAGTTATGTTTTATACATGATTAAAACTGTAAAGTCACGGTTAAGTCAAAACTAAAGTTCACAGGAAGTTATGATGTTGCAAGAACAATTTCCTGGTAAAGAAGAAATGTAATAAAAGACAACAACGGTGATAATAAAACCCTAATATTCTGAGATTAAAGTTGTAGTAAAGTCATAATTTTATGAGAATAAATTTGTAGTTCAGTTATAGTATTACAAGGATATGGTCACAATATCATGGCAAATAAGTTGCAATGAAGTTATAAAAATGACAAAGTCAAAGAAAAGTTATAATTAAGTTGCCAGAATTCAGTTGTTTTCATACTTTGCTAAATGTTTGACCTTTAACCATTGTCTCTCTCTTTAACTAGCCATGGAGTTAAGGCCTCTCACATTGTGTTTGGCGGTCGCACTTTTTGCAGGTATTCATAAAGTAACACAGCATTATTAAAAGTTTGTACCTCACTTTAACTCTTTTTTTGGTTCATATATTTGTGAAAAAATCTCCTTTCCTCTGCAGTGTGTCACAGCTGCTCTTCAGGAACAGAGTTCATAACAACATTTCTTACAAACTATCAGAAATGTAAAGGTAAAAATCAAAAACTCCACGTTGTTCTGACTGCCTTGGAGGCTGATGCTGATGTCAACATACAGGTAGGATATATGAATTTATATTATTGTGGAGGAAAAATTAGTAGAAAAAATTTACAAAGAACTTACTTTAAACAATAGAAGAGTATGTGCACGAACTGCATGTATCTCATCCAATAATTTGGATTAAATATCTTTCACACAGTAGAAATGAGGGAACAGGTGTGGCATTTTATTGAACCAAAATGTAAAGACAGGTATTTAAATTTTCATAAATGGAAATACAGCCACGTCAGTTTTTGAGTGAACCATATCACAGGTCATCGATGAACTGTGTGGATCGGATTTCATTTTTTTGTGACTGAGATTCTCACAAACAGTTAGCATCTCTGCTCTGTGCTGCTCCGCTCTAATACTGATGGCACTAAATTTAATCCACTTAGTGTATGAGCTGGAGAGCGAGGGAGATAATCCTTACCATTTTTGGTGTTTTACCATGATCTGAGACAGATATACAGTATTTTACTCCAAATGGATAGATCTCAGATCATTTATATGAACATCACAGTTGCATAGGGTTTGCTCCACAATGCAGATAGTGCTTTGTAAATTACACTTTGTATTTGGCAAGGTTTCATGAACCAAGCTCGCACTTTTTACTAAAAAGTGACTGATTATAATTTGAGAGACAGAGCTAGTTTGTACCCCAGGCAGTAAAAGCAAATACTACACCTGGCCTGCACTTGAGGATTTACTGTAGTTAGGTAATGGAAATGCTTGGATTTCACAGGTTAACATCAGTAATACACTGTCAGAAAAAAAGTAACAAGTTTCAATGAATAATCAAACTTCCTCATATGGTAAGTTTTTGAGGTTTTCACTATTTTTATTTTCCCCATTGAGGAGATGAACAGAGATGAGCACAGGAAGTCAGAAGTTTAAATCCATTAGCTGTGAGTCTGGTCATAAAGACGTTGACTTAGTTAGGTTTATCTGGTCATTTTTGTTTAACTTTTGAAATTAACAGTACGGTATAACGCCCAGCTGCCAGATAAAAGTCCCCAGGTCTGCTCCCCTTTCCACTACAACGGAGAAGGTCCCCATGATCCAAGTCAAGATAGACTTAATCCAAACACGTTACAGTACATCAGTGAAGATCCACAGATTACTTCACATCTCTAAAGCCTTATGCTTCTGTGTACTGACTGCACCAAATTTAGTGTAATATGATCCATCTTGTTTGGTATTCGAGAGAGCTCCAATAGACAGTTTATTGCATTTGAGCAGAGCAATAATATCCCCTGAGATTTAGCAACGACAGGCCCCCACCCTGTTTGCCAGTTTGTTTTCCTTTCCTCTTGGTCTAGTTCCTTTCTGCCAGGATGAGCTTGGACAGCTGTTGGACATTCAAGCGCTGAATTGGGACTGAGATTTTAACTGCAAAGGATAGAGTAGTGTAACAGCCTTGGCACAAATTCATTATGTTTTAATGTGTTTATAAGTGATGTGTTGGCTAATTAAAAAGGGGAGAACATTTTTCTATTAAAGAAGATCCTCACACATGCACAAACACACAAGTGGAACAAAACAAGTTTGAAGTTGAGACACACCTCATCATGGTGGGAGCTTTAATTGTATTGAGGATTTGAGCTCAAACTCTTGGCCAGTATGACATTCCCAAATGAAAGAAAATGTACCCTGTATGTTGCTTTAAAATCCTCTCACTGATTTGCAGGTGGCTTCACTGAGCTTCTCCAAGACATTGACCGTCCGTGCTGGTAAAACAAAATGGTTGTCTCTGCCAAAGGGTGCTGAGCTGAAGAAACAATTCATCAACTCAGGTGCTGCGGTTCGAATTTCATCTAGTGCCAAAATCACGGCGGTCACCTTCAACCGCCGTGCCGCCACTGGTGAGGGTGCTGCGGTTTCCCCGTTAGAACACCTGGGCACAAATCACATTTTGTACGTACCCTCAGACAAGACAATATATGATGGGCTGGTCGCTATTGTAAATGGTGACAGCGAGAACGAAATCATCATTGTACCGCCCAGAGATGTAAAGCTCAGAGGGATGATAACGTGGAACCAAGGGGAGGAAGTGAGGTTTACCATGAAGCCCTTCGATACCTACCTCATAAAAGCCCGTTCGTGTATGACTGGCACCCAGATCAAATCCCAGAAACCTGTAGCTGTCCTAACAGGTCACCAGTGTCTGAAGCTCTGTGGCAAATGTGACCATGTATACGAACAGCTTCCTCCTGTGGGCAGAATGGGAAAAGAGTTCGTCATACCCTCTGTCGGCAGGCCCAAGGCTAAAACCTGGGGGTTGATAGTGGCAAGTGAAGACAACACTGTGTTGACACTGAGCAACGGCTGTAAAGAAAAAAGCAGGTTTGAAAAAGATCAAACATTTTTTGTGCAATCCAAATTTAACTGTAATGAAAAGTGTTATCATTATTATTATTATTATTATTTCTAAAGGTTAGTTTATTTCTGATTTCATCCTCTCAGTCAGACTAAATGTTGGCTTAAATTAGGGTCAAAAAGACTCAAAATAAAAGATCCAACAGATTCACAATAGACACAGAGGACACTGACATGTGGACAACAATTTACATGTATCTGATTTTAAATTCAAAGAAAAGGGTCAATTCAGAGTTCTCAGGCAGATAAATAGCTTTTATTTAATCCGGATTATTCTCTGATGTACAAGGATTAGTAAATGCACCACATGACAGAGGGGCATATCTTTCTTTTTTAGAGAAATTGCGCTATTACAAAACTACTCATATTAATTTTCCACCAGCAAAACTAGTTAAGAAACTTTACAGAAGCTGTTTAGGAACTGAAACATTTCCCTATTGTCTTGTCATACCTTGAATGTTTATCTTCCATATCTGCCAAGTCATCTAACACCTCAGAGGGGTTGGCACACATACATGATTCTGTTGCAATATATATCAACACTCTTATCCAACTTGTTCAGAGGTATCTGACGTATGGTTTTATACATTAACTCTAAATTAAGCTGCAATGTATGTCTATTAGTGTATCCTAATGTCATAACTTCCCACAAATATAAAATCCAACCCATGTTCCAACAGGACTCTACAAACTGTTGGGCAAACTCTGGCCGTGATGGTCTCCAGCAAACGTCCTCTGATCGTAAAGAGCAACAAGAAGGTGATGGTTCTGCTCCTAAGCAACAACAAACCACACGACCCCTTCCTGATCACTCTGACCCCAACCTTCCAGATGTCCACTGATTGGGCAGTGGAGACAGTACGTGGCCTCAAAAACAAACTCTCCATCATAGCAGAGAGAAAGGGGGCAAAAAGTGTCAAGGTGTGCGCAGGGCGAAAATGTCGCAAACGTCTGAACTGGAAAAAACTTGGCTCAAAGTGGGTGTGGTTAAATGTGGGGATAGGGAAAAAGCAAAAGCATGTGACTGTGCAGGGTAATGCACTGATGGCAGTCTACGCCTACGGAGGAAAAAGAAAGCTGGGATATGGCACCGCTGGAGTCTGTGGAGGTAAACACACACACATACAGACACATACATGAACATGTTGAAACTGCAGAGATACCTCTTTCAGATTCTTTCAAAGAGATGAGGAAAAACTGATTAGATTTCCATCTTTTTTCAAAGTACATCTTTATTTCACGCCAGGAAAAATGACTAAAAACAAAATGGATATGACTGAAAATAAAACCGATTCAGGGACAATTAAGTCAAAATTTTGAGAGTAATGTTGGGCAAGTTACTGAAAATTAGTGACTAGATACAACTGAAGTGCACTCTAGAAGTAGATTTATGACTGAACCAGTTCAAGCCTGTCAACGATATCAGTAAGCTTGTAAATATTTTATTTCAGCAACCCTGACAGGCAGGTAGCCTAGAAGTTAAAGAACCAAAGTGTTTTATTTAAACCCCTGGTACCTACAGGGCAGGGTTTATTTGAACAAGTTAAGACACAATGCTAGAGGGAGTCAGGGTCCGAGAAATTTTGAGACTCAAACACTTAATTCCTGTATTCTGGTATATATTATGCAACATTAATTAGCAAAAATTTAACACAAAAATTATGAATGCATATTCATCAAAATCTGGATTATACTTCCTGCATAAAGATCACATTCAAGTACCCCATGAGTATGAAAATTTTGCACTAGTTCAGTTGGCAATATACATGACCAGAATTACTGTAAATACAAGCTTTGCACACACATCACTATAAGATTGTATACACCAATAACTATGCCCTGTGGCAAGGGCCACCCTGCAAACCTACATTTTATTCGCACTTTGCAAGCACACGTGGGATACAACATTTCAAAATACAATAAAAGGTGCAATGTCAATTATTAGGTGGGATATTTAGGATTAGTGCTGAGTGTTAGACAGTCAAGAGTGGAAGTTTAAACTCACCCACTTTTACTTTTCCTGCAGCTTCCCCTCCCCCACCGCTGCCCGACGATCCTTGCGAGGAGATACAATGTGGAGCAAGAGAGCGTTGTGTGAACGGAGCTTGTGTCCCTACTTCCACGGCAACATGCCATGCCAAGGGTGACCCCCACTACTATACCCTTGATGGCAGATGTTATAACTTCCAAGTAAGATCAACCAAGCAGCAGCATTCATGCCCCTTTCATTAAACAAAAACTACACTAACTGAATGATAAAATCGAAAAGATCTCCATTGTCCAGTCCAGGGTTGGCAACAAATTCTACAGCGGGTTAATGCAACCAATAAAACAGGCGAACTTAGTCTACAGAAGAGGCACAGTTTTTACCAAAACCAGATGTTTGTCAAACAACCACACTCACACACTGTAATAGTCAAGAGTTCATGGTATGTTTGTTGTTGGTGTTGAGCCACAAGGACCCGCAAAGACTACATGACCATACCAGGTCACTACTTCCTCAGGTCACAGAGAGCCAGGAATCTGGCAAAAAAATAACAAACGTGTCCTTGTTTAAAAAATATCATCTGAGGTCCCAAACAACATGTTGCTTCATCTCATGGTTTAGACGAATCTGTCCATTCTGGTGATTGGATGATTACTATAAATTGTAAATGAACAATTAATTAGCAAGAAGCAAAAACAAAAAAATGCTAACTGCTGATTAACTACTTAGGTCCAAGAATAAATTAGTGAGATGCTAGGATCAATAAAGTCCTTCTTCTTCTTCTTCTTCTTCTTCTTCTTCTTCTTCTTCTTCTTCTTCTTCTTCTTCTTCTAGCCAGGTCTACCAAGCAGAATCTATCGTAGACTAGCACAGACGAATACACATCAATCCAGTCCTGAGTTCAGCAGTCTATCAGTCGGTTTATTTTTGTTTTTTGTTCTAGTTTCATTTAAACATAATCCCATAAAAGTAAGAGATGTGGTATTTGCTTGTCATGATCTGCTTTTACGGTTAAAGCTCACCCTTTCAGGTGTTGTGAAAAGAGCTGCAAGATGATTTTTCATGACTGATATGATTTCTTTCAGGGTACCTGTACTTACATTATGGCCACAGTTGCAAACCCAGCGCCCGACCTTATCCCTTTCACTGTGTTGACCAAGAATGCCCACAGAGGGAACCAACGAGTTTCCTTTGTGAAGACTGTGACTGTTATTGTTTACGGGCAGACAATCATCATCAGCAGACAAAAAGGACGAGTGCAGGTAACACATTTATTCACTCTGACAAGTGATAATTATAGTACCCAAAGCAAAGAAAAAAAGAAATCATGGTTCAGCACATGGATATTTTTGTTGTAAGCTGGCGATGTTTACTGTTGGTCATGTGCATTGTGAGTCATGTCCACAGTCAGCAATTTACAGCAATGTTCATTTGATGCCATGCTTACAGATGGAAAGTTTTTGGTTCTCATGTTAGTTTTTAGCCATGTTTAGTGTTGACAATATATATTATGGGACATGTTCACTGTCAGACATTTCCGTGTAAGGACATGTTAGTTGTAGGACGTGTGAAATATAAGTAATATTTGTAGTAGGAGTTGTTTTTATTTTGAAATTTGTGTGAGAGAACATGTTAAATGAGGCCCATATTTATCGTTGCCTCATTCACTGTTGGTCATATTTATCTTTGTTTTTGTCTCGCAGTTTGTCATGTTAGTTCTTGGCAGTGTGTATAGGGTTCCATGGTTACTGCTGGCTGTGTAAACAGTCAAGTCAAGTCAAGTCAAGTTTATTTGTATAGCACATTTCAGCAGCAGGGCAATTCAAGGTGCTTTTGCAGTCAGCCTTCAATCTTTTAAAATATGTTCATCAAAGCACTTTTTTTGCAATGGTCATATTAGTTGTAACTGTATTACTGTTGTATTACTGTTGGTCATGTTTACTGTTTGCCATGTTAAGAGTCAACCATGTCTATCATTGCACCTTGTGTGTTACAGACTTCACCCTTGGTGGCCAGATGGACTGTAGGATTTCAATATAGCTATAAAAGATTTAGTCCTTGTTCAACTTTAATTACTTCCTCTTTGTATGTTACTTTTGCTTCAACATATGAGATTAAATAATTACTTAAAAGAGTTAATCATTTAATTTTGTTTTACAGCTATAATCAAGTTTTGACATAGATCAAAGAAAAATTAACAAACTTGCAGGCAGCTCTTTTGAGTAAATATTCTTGTGTTACCTTCAGGTGAATGGAGTGATGCGGTGCCTGCCTTTCAATCTGCTGGGTGGGAAGATCAAATTGAGACAGGCTGGGTGCTATGCTGTCCTCACCACTGATTTTGGCCTTATTGTAAAGTTTGACTGGAACATGAGGCTGATAATTACAGTACCATCATCATACTTTGAGCACATGGGTGGATTGTGTGGAAACTACAATGGAGACAGAAAAGACGACCTGCCACACCCCACATGTAAGGAGAAGACAGTAAACAAAACAGTCAAATAAAACAAGTTGTTTAACACAAACAAACTCTTATTTAAATGGATGTAAATTTCACATTTCACATGAATGATTAGGTATTTTATTTGTAAGTTATAAAATTAAACACTGCCAGAACTCGTCAGGTGCATGATTTTAGCCAAAATTGTCCTTGTTTTTGACTTTGGGTCACTGAAATACTTTTGATTGTTTTTTTTTCTCTTACAGCCAAAAGTTTACCTGTTGTTCTGGAGATGATAAAGCACTGGAAGGTGGACGATCCAGACCTGTTCTGTAATGATAACTGTGGTGGGAGCTGTCCTGAGTGTTCAATAGAGCTGCAGAATCATTACAGAAAGCTCCACCTCTGTGGCCTGATATCCAAACCGGATGGACCGTTTGCAGCCTGCCACAGCGCAGTCCACCTCTCTGCATTTGTAAATGACTGTGTCTACGACCTCTGTGTCTATGGAGGTACAAATTTAATTGAAAGTCTCAAAATGTAAGGTATTTGGGATTCTGGTGTGACATTTTGCAAACATTGGTAAAATGTTGAATTGGTGCAGAGGATTCTTTCTGCTACTGGCTTCTTGTATAAAAGTAAACTATGTCTCCTATGACTTGATGAGAAATAATAAAAGACTTTGTGGTTCAGAATCCACCACCAAGGTGGAAACCTTTGTGTAAGGATGAAGTGAGGAGAAAAGACAAAACAGTCAGCAAGAGACTGATGAACTGAACTAAAAGTGGACTCAGAATCCCAAGACACACAAAAAACATACGTTTACATAGTTATTGATAATTCATGCTGTGGATCAGATTAAAGAGCAGAAAAGGCCCTGGAGGTTATTGGGTGCAGTGGTGAGGGGAGGCTGTGGTTAGTAAATTATTAATCATTTGATTTTTATTTTTTGCAAACATCATCTCATTTAAGACCCCACTATACAATTTTTATTTTTTTTTCTCTTAAAAAGCTATAAAAAGTTTAGATTAAAATGTGTTCATGTGGTAACCATGTAATGGTAACACCCAAAAAGGCCAGTAGGGGGCGCATGGTCCCTGTGATGAGCGGAATAACCACAGACTGTATGTAGATTCTATGGTAATAACCGTTGAAGGCAACTGCAGAAACAGTCAGCGGAGTTAAACACAAACTAAACTGCAATGCGTATTTATTTTGAAATACAGACGGGTTAATAGTCCTCCAATGCAAATGTACATACTCCTGTATGAGGGTTAGGAGTGTTGTGAACCTTGTCAGTAAAAAATATTGTGTTGAGTAAAGTAGTTTTGCAGTCATGAGTGTTTTAAGATGATAGGTGGAACAAGTAGCGTGCTAAGCTAGAGCACCTGTTGCTAATTCTTATTGCCACATTACAGTTACTGAATCAACTTTAAGACAGTTAATTCATGTATTAACATTCTGTTCTTGGTTAAAGCTTATTTCTTTTAAATGAGAAAAGTGACATAAACAGTTGGCTTTACATATTTGTCTAAACTGAGATTTGTTTTTCTGGCAGTTGAGGGGCCAAAGGGAATAGCTGTTGTACATTTATGGTTAATATCCATGCAAAGGTTCAAGTTTAGTCCAAGCTAAACGCAAGCCTAACTGCATCGCCTTTTTTGGTAGCACTTGAAGAGGAAAAAGACTGACATCATGCTGTGAGAATCATGACATGAAACTTGTTATTGATATGAATAAGGCTTATGAAGTGTCATTTGGTAAATTATGACCACAGCTGTCCAGCTTGGTGTCATCTTTACATGTGTCCCCTAAAGTTTTATTAGTTTCTTAGTTTAGGGTTACAATGAGAATCCTGATCCACAATATTTATTGAAATGGAACTGATTTTAAAACCGAGAGATGGCCTGGGCACCAGGGACATACGCTTTTTTTTTTCCATCCATTTTTCAGTCTAGGTCTGTTGCATTAGGGATACTTTGTTTTTTTAGGATTTGAGAATCTTTTAGCAAAAGTAGTTATTTATGGAGACATTCATGTGTTTCTGTTTGTGTTTTTCTTTCTGTCCAGGTGCCAAACCAGTCCTCTGCGATAACCTGAAGACTTACGCAGACTCCTGTTTGTCAGAGGGAGTCCAACTTAGTGCAGAGTGGAGAGAAGTGTCTGGATGCAGTAAGTTACTCAGAGAAGTATCAATCCATGAAACACTAAATCTGTAATCTGTTGATTTTTTTTTGTTTTTCCATCAATTGTACAATTCTCTTTCTCTCTCCCTCTCTCTCTTTTCTCTCACTCACTCACTCTCTCTCTCTCTCTCCCTCCCTCCCTCCCCTCTGCAGTTCCAGACTGTCCAGCAGGAAGTCACTATGAAGCCTGTGGTACAGCATGCCCCGCCTACTGCTCCACTCTGGACAGTGAGACCGAATGCAACGAGCCGTGTGTGGAGGGATGTCAGTGTGATGAGGGATACGTGCTCAGCGGAGAAAAGTAACTCACCAATAATGCTGCTCATGCTAATAATCAGAAAGTTAACTGATTTTTGATAAAACAAAAGCTCCAGGTGAACAAACCGTACAGTAGGCTGCGGACAGTAAATATGATCCCTGTCCTCATTACAGGATGTGCGTCCATTATGTGACAAATGTCATTTTGTCAGACCTTAGGACAGTTTTTCACTTGGTCTCCTTTTTGCATGGAACAGTTTTAACCTGTATTTGTGGATGCAGAACGAAACTGTATTGGAAGTGATTTTTAACCCATGCAGGCATTTCCACTCCAGAGTCCTGTCTGTTTTTAATGGAGTGCTATCTGAGGGCTCTAAGATCTGGGTCATCCAATATTGTGTTTGGTCCTTGTCCTTTTTGTACAGAGATTTCTCCAGATTATCTGGATCTCTATGGAGTGCTAACAACAAGAGGACAAACACATTGTGGAAAAAAAATATAAATCAAGACAACAGTGCTCATAAAATAAAGCAGACTCTGATGAATAAATATGATTGAAATATAACAGAACAACTGACATGGAGCCAATCAAACACACTGAGATAAAATACACTAGATTATCTAAAAGAAATTGGGTCTTTAAAGGTTAAAATCACTCAACAGATTCTCATCTTTTATGGCAGAGAACTACAGAGCCTGAGAGCAAAAACAATAGAGACGTTTTAAAACATTTACAACTGAGGAGTGGTTTCACCAGGAGCTATATCAGAAATGTAAACAGGGGCCAAACTATGAACTTTAACTCTTAAGTTAAAGTTGGTAGCAAGGGCAGTCACACTAAGGGCCAATCCAAATGGTCACTCTTATTCCTTCCCCTTCATCTTACCCCTTTGTCTACCCCCTGGGTGAAAACATGCCCCTCAGTTTCCACTAGGTCATGATGCCTTTCCACTTGCAGTGAATTTGTCATCTGACATCAGTGTAGCCCTCAATAGCTATAGCTTCGTCAACCTCAAGATCATCATAACTTGCGATTTTAAAACTTAAACAATTCAAAACATAGCTAATATTTATGTGGAGTAGCAAAGGATTAAATACCTGATAAAGTACGTAAGTGTCATTACAATAAAAATCATATCAAAATCTTACCCCTTGCTTTCAAGTGAGGTCCCGGTTTGTCTTTGTTTCAAGGGCTGTGTACCCCTTGCCACTTAGCCCTTCCCCATAAGATTAAGGAGAATTGGGACACCCCTTCACTTGAAGTGAATACACAAAACCAAGGGCTAAGGGGAAAGACAAGGGCTAAGGGGTACAATTGGGATTGACCCTAAGATTGTAGTAGTGTGACATCTACCATTGGTGTTAGTTTAGACTCTGGTCTTTTGTTGTGTTTTTAGCCGCTGATCAGCTGTGAACTGGTGAAATGATAAGAAAATTGTTACAATAATGAAAGGATCTTTTTTTTTTGTACCATAAAATTATGAAAAGGAGAAAAACATAACACATGTAAGCTTCCTATCTTTAGCATTAGCTCATAGGGGAAAAAATCACCTTATGAATGTGGTGCAATATCAAGATAACCTGTGGAATGAGATCTTGCTGCTTTTTCTCTGGTCCAGGTGTGTTCCTAAGTCTCAGTGTGGATGTGACTATCAGGACAATTATTACCCATCAGGGACCACGTTTTGGGAGGATGAGACCTGCACCTCCAGGTGTAAATGCGAGAACGGGACAGTCGAGGTTAGTATGAGTGAATCAATGTGTGGTATATGTAGTTTGGTCTGTGAGAGACATACCTGTTTGTAAAATCAGAATATTTATCAATAGATAAATGTATATTTATCAATTAAAAATAACACACGCTGCTGCATCCCAGAGTTGACTGATCTTTTCTGCTCTCATCTGTTTCCCTGTGATTCTTCTATCTGCCCCATTCTTCATATAGTGTGAAACAACCAGCTGTGCAAATGATGAGCATTGTGCTCTTAGGGAGGGAATCAGAGACTGCTACCCAGCAAGCTTTGGATTATGCAAATGCACTGGAGACCCCCACTGCACTGGTTTGGACGGGAGGCGCTTTCATTTCCAGGGAACATGCACCTACATCCTGTCCCAGCTGGTCATGGGCCCCCAGCAACTTTTGGAACCGTTCCAGATTCAGGTCACCAATGAGAACAGAGGACGAAATAAGAGGGTGTCCTGGACCAAGTCTGTGTTTCTTACCGTGTTCGGAGGCTTCACTATTGGCATGAGCAACACCAACAATGGAAAGATAATGGTATGGTAATTCTGCTACCTACTTTAGTTTGTTCTTGAATCTATCACAACACCTATTCCACCAAAAAACAGATCTGAAATGAGAGATGAGGGTGAGTATGAAGATCAAACTGGAATCACAAACAGGACATGCTGCTCTCCCTGAATAACTTTGACACATCATTTGAATAAAGCCACTTAATTCATCAGGAAAACAATAAACCTGATTCTCCAGAGGAAAAGTGTGAAATAAATCATGATGTTGTCCCCTCCTCAGGTGAATGGCAGGTTGACTAATCTGCCATACAACACTGAAGATGGAAATGTCAGAGCTTTCAGAAAGGGACGGTTTGGTGTTGTGAAAACATCTTTTGGTTTGATGGTCAAATTCGACTGGCGTGCCAATGTCCAAATGAGTCTGCCAAGTACATACACTGGACAAACTAATGGTAAGTCTGATGTGACTCTGCTAGTTATCAAATTGTACAGAGCTGTTATTTCAACAAGAAGCTTTTATTTCATCAATCTCAATTTTCAGATTCTACTTAAAAGAAAGGGATCCAGGTTTTAGGATGGGAAGTGTTCTGGTTTCTTTTGCTCGTAAGTCTGTTGTCTGAGTAGTGTCGACCAATCAGGTATCAGCAGGTTTCAGTGTCTGCTGAAAAAACAGTCTGTATGGAAAGCAATAGTAAGTAAAATGTATTTAGTTTAGTACCTTCATAGAAAAGATTTACAAAGTATACAAACATAAACATCAAAATTAAATCATTGAATGGTAACGAACAAAGCATAATTCAAACATTAGTTTGAACAAGGTGAGATAAGGGCCCGTTTAAATGAACGAGTCTTAAAGGGCTTTTTGAAGAGTGACCACAGAGTCAGCTGAACTAATGGGGCTGAACTCTTGTTTGTAGACAGGCTTGAGAGACAACGAGCCTTGGTCTGAGGACCTGAGTGACCTACTAGGAATGTAGGGGTGGAGCAGGTCAGCAAAATATTCAGGAGCCTGACCATGCCGAGCTCCATACACAAAACAAGAACCTTGAAATTAATCCTAAATTTGACCGGCAGCCAATGTAGGGAACATAGAGTCTGGGTGATGTGAGTTTTCCAACTGGGCTTGGTCAACAGTCTTGCGGCTGCTTTCAGGATAAATTGCAGGCAATGAAGGGATGACTTACTGAGGCAGGTGAGAAGTGAATTATCAGACGGAAGTATTTCATTTTGTCTGACTGCTGTGGTCGTTCTCTGTTTCAGGCTTGTGTGGAAACTTTGATGGCAACACTGAAAATGACTTCCTGAAACCTGATGGTACCCTGGCTGACAATGTAAATGAATTTGGTGGCAGCTGGCAGGTTTGTATTAATTTGGACTCAAAGATTTCATGGACCCAAAGCATCTGTCACAAACTGAGACTTTATCAATTAATTTATATTATAACTTTAAAGTTATTAGTATGTGATATAGTTACTATTTCAGGATATTTCAAGCTGAGCCAGTAAGTCGTCATTTTTGGAAAAAACGGACAGTAAATGACTGTATGAATTATAAAACACGTGACAACAGTTGCTGAGGTTTTCAGCCGCCTATGAGCTGCTTTTAAAGTGCTCGTGCCTGCTGACTTACCCTTTAAAACCACAATAATAAACAACCTCTGTGCACTATAATGTGCTCTGTTTGTGAAGGTAATAGCCTCTGATAATTCTGATATGCCGGTATGATTGGTCACAGGTTGGTGGAGAAGCCGGCTGCACCAATAACCCTGACCCTGTGTGTGAACCTGCACTGATGTTAGTGTATGAGAAGAAGCCCTACTGTGGCATCATCTCTGACAAGGAAGGACCATTCGGGTAAGTACTTCTCTTGTGGTTCTACCAAAACGGATGTAGGGGTTAATCCAAGCAGAAATAGAGAGAAAAAGAAAAACACAAAAATTTAGAATGGGAGTTAAACTTCTTATCTCACTCCCAACATGTTACATGTTGGATTTTTGCAGTTTTAATTTAAGTTAGATCAATATGGGGTTCCAGATTTTTTCATTAACCACTACACTATTGTTTATTTTATTTATCTCTTTGTTGGAAACATTGGTATAACATTGGTGCTGTAACATGGAACCATGAGCTTTAAGAAGCACTGCACTTCTACTTGTAGTAAGATGCCAATTTGCAGCATCCGTCCACTAGAGGCTTTTGTAAATTTGTGAAAAATAGTGACACCAAGAATATCCCGGTATTGATATCAGATACCGGTCCAATATCAGCAACAAAATGAATAACGGTTTAATCGGCCTGCATCTAAAATCTCCAATATCAGCAGTCTGATACCAAGCAGACGCCAGACTCTGCTCTGGTACCTCTATCTTGCAGCGCCCGGATCTAGCAGGTAGAGCCCACATAATCACAACAACAGTGTGTACTAAGATACTGACAAAGTAACAAGGAGTAGGAGTGATGTCGGCTGTGTCGCAGTATTTTTTGTTTAAGTCCAAAAAAGATGTTGCAGCTGAGTGCAAAACTTTTCACGCACAGTTTTGTGCCAATATCGGCTCAATAATGGGATTGACCAACACTGAAGGCTACAATATCGCTTTCGTATCAGAAGTAAAAAAGTTGAATCAGGACACCCCTAAATAATATTAGAGTTAGGAATACCATACAGTTATAATGCCGGGCTGATAAAAATGTAGAGGGCTGTATACAGTAAAATGTAAAGCACATTTATGTTTAAGCTGTCATAAAATACATTATTATAAAACACTGCTGTCTATGGGAAAGAAGAAGCACTGGCATTTTCTTGATTCACTTGGTCAAGCCTTCCCCCACCCCCCACCAAAAAGCAAAAATAAAAATAAGGGTGAGAGTGCACAGCACAGCTCTATGCAACAGGGAGAGGAGATGCTGACAGCTGCTGTCCTTAACTGGACTCAAAACTGCAGGATGAGCTGCAGAGTTTAATGTGCATGTTTGAGCTTGATCGTCACTGGTAGCAGCAGACAGATTTTCAGCTTAGGCTCAGTATTGAGGTCCTGGTTCAGTAGTTGGCTGATTATCTGCAGCCGCTCTCCATTTCACAGACGGTAAAAACTATCGCTGAAGTGTATTTTCCTCTAGGTCTGTTTTCTTGCACCTGTCTCTTGATGTTGAACATTTCAGTTCTAATTAAACATTAACTGAAAGAGTTTAAACAAAGTTTGTGTTAAAGTTTGTGATATTATCTAAATGCAAATTTTTTATTATCACTGTAATTGTATATTGGTCCCAAATATCCGTTCCATTAGATATCTGTATGGGTCCCATATTGAAAAATCAACAGCTGCAGCAAGGACTGTAGCCTCTAGATACCGGGGTGCTAAACCTGTAGGCTGTCAGTACCCTGCTGCATTCATTTGTTTATTAACAATCTCATTTAGACTAATTTCAAGTAGTCAAAAAGTGCAGAAATATTAGACTAAGTATAGGGACCCAGCCTTCAATAAAGATCATATTTTATCCAAAAAAGACATTTTTTACTTTAGCAGTGTAAGGAGATCATCTGCAGTATGTACTTCTCTTGCTGAAAAATAATCAACATTTGCCTCACTTTAAGGGCCAGTAACTGCAAAGTCTCTGACATTTAAGATCATTGAACCATTATAAAAAAAAATATTTATATATATTTATTTATCTGTTGCTCATCCTCAGTCACCGACTTTGTTTGTCTGTCTCTACAGTCAGTGCCACGAAAAACTGGACCACAGACCATTCTTAGACGACTGTAAATTTGACATGTGTGCCTTCAAAGGACTCCGCTTCACACTGTGCGAAAGCCTAACAGCTTTCGCCGACGCCTGTCAGGTGAAAGGAGGCAAGGTGGAGAGTTGGAGGAAGAACGATTTCTGTCGTAAGTCAGAACCACCCCTTCATTTATCACTTCATCCATCCAACAAACGTTGTACCTAATCCATGATGCCGCTCATCTCTCTGTATTATGCCGTAATGTCCGTCTCTGTGTCTTCCTGCAGCTATGCCCTGTCCTGCTAACAGTCACTATGAGTTGAGTGCCCCTGCCTGCCAGCCCACCTGTAGCAGTCTTGCCCCTCCCGAGGGCTGTGAGGAGGACTCCCCCATGGTGGAGAGTTGTGTGTGTGATGAGAATTTCCTACTGAGTACCGACAAGTGTGTTCTCGTGGAAGAATGCGGCTGTTGGAAAGAAGGAGTGTACTATGAGAACGGAGAGGTAACACCAGCCCTCTCATCAGCACACCTGCACATACTTAAACCTCTACATGTGAGGGTTCTCTCACTCACCTGTCCTCTGTCCTCAGAGTTTCATCCGTGGAGAGTCCTGCGATGAGCAGTGCACATGCTCAGAAGGACAATTAACGTGTAATCCCTTCGCTTGTTCAGAACATGAGAAGTGTGTCCAGAAAGACGGCGTCCCCTCCTGTGAACCCAAAAGTATAGCCACTTGTTCTCTGACCGGTGTCAGAACGGTCAAAACATTTGATGGACAGGTACAGTAACTTTCCTCTCAACAATATCAGAGTAAACACATCAAAAGGGCTTTACCATGAGCCTCTTGGAGTTCTATGGTACTGCAGATGCCATTTTGGTTTACTTTAAAACAGGTCGTAACCATGTTTCCACACAAAGGTGGAGTCTTAGAAGAATAAAGGGTTAGTGAAGGCCAAGTTTTTGGTGAGCAGCAACCTACTGTGTTGAAATATGAAGCAAATCTGGATATACAGAAACTTGCAGTTTCTCCAGTGTCCACTAGAGGCTGTGCCATAGAGTGAGTCAGTTCATATAAAGCCCTTTGTTAAAATGTCCAAGTTCACAGCAGAAATAAACACGGTTACAACAGCCTGGCACAAATAAAATGTTGGTTCCGTTGGCAAATTTTTTTGTCCATAACAATTTTACATAAGTAACCTTCTTGTATAACTCCCCTGTTTTTGTTGTATTAGGGCCATACTAAGTTTCATTGGGGCAAGGCTTTGAACTGGGTAATAGATGGCTTTCAGATGTAAATGAGAGCGATCAGTACCTTCCTCTTAATTTACTGCTCCATGGATAAAGGCAAAGTGCATTCCCACCTGAAAGTGGTAAAATTGGGTCTTTTAAGAAGGGCATGAATGGAGATTGCTACGCTTTTGAAGCCCGCCTTAAGTGACATTCAAGGAACTGCACCTCTCTACACTTTCACTGTGGCTTCATTTTTAGATCCCAGAGGTTCAATCACTATTGACTGACTTCTCTTTTAGTGTGTCTCCACCATGCGTTTCAGTTCAGAATGCAAGTTGCTAATTGGAAAAAGTGCAGAAATAACCAATTTATACTTTTTAGCGCCCTTCTGTCAAGGCACTTACCATACTGACTCAACCCTCAGGGGTGGAGCTAGAAACTATGTAATCAGTTGATTGAAAGGAATCATCACTATCCTTACAGAAGTGGTAGAAAGTTCAAACTCAAGGCAATCCATGTTTTCAGGGAGTACTTTTAAGGCCGTCTTTGTATCTGAGTGAGTAATGTCAGCACACAACACTGCCCTTCAGCCCTTTGGTTTCCTCGCACAAAAACATATATTCCCTGTATATCACCTTGAGTCTGAATAAAGAGCTATGCAAGACACTTCTTGTTCTGCCTATGATTGTCCTGGACAAAACTTCAAAATTAAGGCATTGTGTTAAAACAAGGGGGATCTTGGATCAGGCTTTTACTTTGAAAAGTATTCTAGAAGTACAACCATAGTATATTTTTATAGTATATTTATATCAGTTAAGATGTGCTGCTTACTCTGGCTGACCCAGTATGTCAACATGCAAGCTAAAAATCAAGCCATTCAAAAGTCTTTCAGCAAAATGCACTGGTTGACTAGCTAAGAAAAGTCACTGTAGTTGTTAATCACAGGTAGCCCCACCCCCAACCCCCCTTGCTTTACAGGAAATAGGATTTTTAATTGTATCAGCTTTGTTAGACATGCTCAGTAGAAATTCAGACACAAAGTGAAGTCTTTCTCCTCTAATGTCTCCACCCTCTCTACCTGTAGAACTATCCTCTGTTTGGAAACTGTCCGTTCACGATGTCAGAAGTGGAGGAGATGGATGAAGGGATGCCGGCCTACTCCGTGTTGGTGCTGCAGACAGATGAAGCCGGTGCTGTGTCTCGTGATGTGGAAATCAGAGTTTATGACACAGAAATCACCTTTGAAACAGGAGTTCAATGGAAAGTTAAGGTATCACTGATGTTTTGGTGTTTCTTCTCTGGGATCAAAAAGTCAAACATGCTGTGGACATTCAGGGCTCAATCGTTTCACAATCTGCCAAGCATTTAACCGCTGAACATGAAGTATCAGCCTTTATTGGAATCATCTTGTATTTTATCTGATTATATTGTCTTGTTTGCAGTTCATTATGTAAGAATGATCATGTAGGGGTGTGATGGCGTCCTCTGCTCAAAAGTGCACATCTGTGAATTTTCTCTGGAGAGGCTCCTAATGTTTTCACATATATTTAAGTCCTCTCGACTTGTTTTTGTCGACGTGTTCAAGGCCATCTCAACAAATCAAGTCGTGATCATTCTAAAAAAGGGAATTTTTCTGAGAATGTTTAGATTAGAAAAAAAAATCTGACTTGGATCAAAAAATTCAAACAATTCAACAAACTTTTGTCTCAGAGAAAAAGTTAGATATCCATTCTAGAAATGTTTGTCATGGCATTTATTGTTTTTTAGGTCAAAGTTGTTGGTTTAAATCCTGACTCCTGAATCTTGAGACCTGACTTTGTCATCGTAGTGTTGCGTAAAAATTCAGGCCTTAAAAATACTCATGGGCCTAAATTCTCCTCTGTAGTTGTAGAAAAAGTTTTAAATATTACATTATAAGTTATCCCAGTTATAAGTTTGTTTTACAGCGACATATAATACATCTTTCTTTTCAGATTGATGACGTCGCAGTCGTTCTCCCTTGGTCACTGGACAATGACAAAGTTCTAATAACTCAACACTGCAACTTTATCGTGCTTGAGACTGACTTTGGTCTGAAGGTGACCTATGACACAAAAGGAGGAGTGGTTTTACAGATCCCATCCACCTATCACAATGCTCCACGCGGTCTCTGTGGAAACAACAACAATGACCCCTCTGACGACCTGAAGAACGGCGATCCTCTGGAGACAGCAAACCTTTGGCTGGTATCGATAGACGATGTTCAGTGTGAGGCAAGCTGTGGAGCTGCTACCTGTCCTGGACCTGATGATGATGAGATCCCAGACGCTGAAACAGCTTGTGGCATCATCAAATCACCAGAGGGTCCATTTGTGGAATGCCACGCCACAGTTGAACCATCTCAATACTTCGATGCCTGTGTCAGGTAAGAAGAGTTGAACGCTATTTATTCTTAATCTAATTCAGAGGTAGCCAGCAGGGGGCAGATTGTACAGGGGTCTGTGAGAAAGTGGTCCTCCTCCTACTCAGCTGATTTTGTCACTCAGTAAACCTTTTCCTAATGGGTTTATGGACCCAAGCTGCAGTTTCTGGTCTTCTTGAATACAGCATGATGTTTATTTAGTAAATTATGGTCCATTTAAAGCCACAGAGACCAGAATCTTATGAACTAAAACTTTCTTATGAGTGCTTAGATGCTTAATTTTCAACTGTTTAAAACATTTTTCTGTCAGCCATATGAACATCCTAGGTATGCAGTTTAAATACCACCCTGTCAATCAACCTAGCTACCATCAAATCTAAAAGATAACCTAATTAAACTGAAGTCTTACAAGATTAGGACACGTGGTAAAAACTGATATTTGGAGAGTAATGTTGCAGCTTTATAACTTATCTCATGAACAGATCTGCAAAAATTAGGTCTTATTATAACCTATTAATTTTGAGTTTCATAATAACGTTTTGGTGGTTTGTCTCCTCAGTGAGTTGGCGACACACAATTTAGATCAACAGATCCTGTGTAAACACATCTCAATTTATGTTTCTGCCTGTCAACTTGCTGAAGTTGCATTAGAGCCATGGAGGCGCCCTGATTTCTGTCGTAAGTTCAAGTCAATCCATAGTTGAATTGTTTTGAATTCTGTATGTATTTTGAATATGTATTTGTGTATGCATTTTGAATCCTAATCTTATGTGGCATTGTGAGTTGTGTTCTGTTCAGGTAAGAGTTTTGAGGTCCAGCTGCACATGGTTAAAAGTTTAAACAGTTTTTTATTGTTCATAGATAAAAATCCCCAAATCTGCTAAATTTGAACCACAGAAATCTTTGATTTCTTCATCTCTGAGTGTTGGGTCTATTGTTATTGTCTCTGCAGCGCTGACGTGTTCATCAGGGAGTCACTATGAGCTGTGCGCCTCCTCCTCATCCTCCACCTGCGCCTCCCTCGAGGAGCCATTCCCCTCCACGGTCTGTCAGGAGGGCTGCCAGTGTGATGACGAGCAGCTGTTTGATGGAGTTCAGTGTGTCTCTGTGGAGAATTGCGGCTGCCTTGTGAATGGAAACTATTATCAAGTAAGAACCTTCTTGATGTCGGGCAAAATACCCTGATGGCAGCAATAACCTGATCACACATCATTTCACATTAATCTGAGAAAGGTAGTGCTGCATGTGTTTGCACAAAAATATTGAACATAACACAAAAATTAGTAACAACTCACAGAAAATATGTCATAGAAATGGACACAAAAACTTTTATAAAAAATATAATCCTTAACACCAAAGATATTTGTAATGTTCCTATTCAAATGTTCAAGTGTTCTGTGTTTTCTAACTGTGAGTGAATGTGTATGGCACGGGCACAGATGTGGTTGGATGAGAAAGTGAGGAGGTGGGGTGAGCGACAGAGACGGGGGTTCAGTGTGTCTATGTGTATGCTTGTATGTGTGTGAGTGAAGAGCTGAGGGACAGAGAGAGCAATCATGGAAGTTGGTGTGTTGGTGCAGTTACTGTTATAAATTTTATTTTATTTTTTTGTAGCAAATCATATTTTTGTCCTTGTCTTTAACGTGTCTGGTCAGACGCTACAATACTTTCAGAGGCGGGCTACTGTCAGAGCGAGGCTTTAGTTAATTTAAGGTACAGTATAGTTCACATGTCTAAGGCCTTGGGGACCCACTGTATATGTAAACTTGAGTAGTCCCTTATGAGCATCCTTGACTCAAGTGCACAGGGACATTGCACTACATGAAGCTGGACATGTCAGTGTTGGTAATGCTAATTGAATGAGGGTGGGTTTAGTGTCCTGGAACGTCAGGGTCTAGAGCTGCAAGAATCAAACAAACTCCTTTTTTGCACAAATGACATTCTTTAACCACTTGTTGTATATGCACCTGTAGCCATGTGGTCTTCCAGGTCCTTCCAGCTGGTTAATGATGAAATCTATAATTTCTACATCAGCTTGTTCCTTAACTTTAAGGCAATGCATTTTGAGCAGCCAAATGAAGTGTTTTTTGCTAAGAATTACTCCATGCCTTACCACAAGTGACTAAGGCATGTCATTGTAATTCATTCCCATCTTATAATTTAATGAAATTAATTCAAGCATGTCCATTTTAGTAATCAACAGTCTCTTTATCCCTCTAAAACTGACAGATCCCATTATATCAGGTGAATTATCTCATGGCCGCGCATTAACTTTCTCGTGGCCACAGGTTATCATCTCATGGCCACGCAGTAATGTTTTTTTCCTCCAATGTCACGAGAGTTTATTTTATTTTCAATGACTCAAAGGCATTTCAGTTAACACGAAACAATTCATAAATATAAAAATTTTAGCAATTTCAAAATTACACAGAAACATTTTTTAAAGGCATGAAAGTATTTCATGTAACAGTAAGCATTTCACAAAAAAAAAAAAAATCACAAAAAGGAAATATTTAAGTGTTTTGAGAAATATTTTTGGGGTTTGTGACATATTTTTGCAACTGGCAAGGTAGTTTTTACTTCCATGAAAAATTGCAACAATCTGTGCCATACTTCTATGTTTGGGGAATATTTTTGCAAAATATATGATTTTTTTTTCATTTTTATTAATTTTTTTCCCTAAATGTGAGGCTTTGTGATTTGTGAAAACTGAAGGTTTCAATATTTTAGTACTTGCCAAAAGTATTTCATAATATTTTTATAATTTTGAAATATTTTTGTATTTTGTAGCATTTTTGTAACATTTTTTTTTGTTTTGTGACCAATTTTTACTTATGAGACATCAGTTTATTCTTTTAAAATATTTTTTGCAATATGGAAGAATTGTTATGTATATGAAAGTGTCTTTGTATAACACAAGAATATCTTAGTTTTAGATGCATAAAATATTTAGTTGTGTTGAGTTGATGTATGTGTCTTTTTAAAAATCAGAGCAACTTTTTTTTTTCAGTCGGGGACATCAGTCTTGAATGAGGACTGTTCAGAGAGCTGTACCTGTGAGGCCGGAGTGTTCACATGCATAGATCACAGCTGCCAGGAGGAGGAGGAGTGTCTCATAAAGGAAGGGATAATCGGCTGCTACCCCATAGGTCAGATATTTTTATTTCAACCTGCATGTCTTTTTTAGCAACAGCAGCTTGAGTCACATCATCTGTCTGCTACACTTTCCATTGGAATAAATTATTTCAAAGATGTTATTAATAATCAAATCATTTTCTGTGTGTGTGTGTGTGTGTGTTTGTCTGTGTGTGTTTCAGACCCCTGTGAGGACATAGAGTGCAGGGTGAAGGAGCATTGTGAAGTCATTGAGGGAGAAGGTGCTTGTGTCGCTGACTTTAAAGCAACATGCTGGGCCTTTGGTGACCCACACTTTGGGAAACTGGATGGCGGCAGGTTCTCCTTCCAGGGAACCTGCAGCTACATCTTCCTCACCACCACAGGTGAGATTTTACCTGACAGACAAACCAGGCCTTTAGGTCTTTGACCCACTGTGATTTCACACTAAAGATTTGATTTGTTCACCTTTACAAGTTACTCTAACATCAAGTAAACCAAACAAGACAAAAATAGGGACAGTATGTTCAGTTCAGGAAATCAACTTAATCTGAGCAGTGTGAGTTAAAAACCTCACTGATATTATCAGCGCAGTTGTTGTTGCACACACCTTTGCTTTGCCTTGCCTACTATAAAGTGAGTTTTTCTCCTCCTCAGATCTGGATCCAACGTTGCCAGAAGTGACTGTGACCACGAAAAATGAGCTGAGAGGAAACTCTCAAGGCTCCTACGTGCGTTCAGTCACTGTGGAGATGCTGGGTTATCGCATCGACATCCCCAGCGGACAGGACGATATCATTTTGGTGGCTCAAGATGATGTGAGTGGATCTTTTCATTTTATTGCACCTTTGATGATCTTTTAGTATCTCCACTCATTGCTGTGCAGAACTACACTGTGGGTGCTCATCTTGCAGCATTGAACTCTTTCTACTGATATGATGAGCTGGATGGAGATTGTCAATTCATTACAAATGCCACGATTCCAAAATTCAGAGTAAATGTCTGCTCGGTGAATAACAGAATTATGTTTCTCTGTAGGAGGAGGGCATGAAAGAGGAACTTCCCTATTTCACTGAGGATGGCAGGCTGTCCATAACTAAATCAGGAATAAGAGGAATAATCGAGACTGACTTTGGCGTGGAGATTACTTTTGATTGGTCCACTTTGCTCATGGTCACCCTCAGTAGCAGTTACTTTGGTAATACTGGTGGACTGTGTGGTAACTACAACGGGAACAGTACAGATGACATGACAACTCCTGATGGCGTCCTTCTTACTGATGTGGCGGCCTGGGCAGAATCCTGGAGTGTCCCTGATGGGGACATTTTCTGTTACCATCAATGTGAGGGGGATTGTCCTCAGTGCTCACAGGAAGACCAGAAGAAGTAATGCCTTCAAACTATTCCAAATTTTAATAACAACACGTTATGGCTCAGTGTCCTTGTCATAAATGTTATTTCCTCCTCTTCCTCTACAGGTACTCAGGTCCAAAGTTCTGTGGGTTCCTAAGCAATCCGGATGGACCTTTTGCTGTCTGTCATGCTACAGTTCCTGTGAAGGACTTGCAGTCAGACTGTCTGTATGATGTTTGCCTCAATGATGGACGACAGGAAGTGTTGTGTGGAGCCCTTAGCAGCTATATGGCGGAGTGTCAGAAACTTGAAGTCGATGTGGGGCCGTGGAGGGAGCTGGCTGGATGTCGTAAGTTAAAAATATGAACATGTACACCAAGTTTGGGAGGTTTTGGCACAAATTAAGGACTTAATATCTGACTAATTTTCCATGTTTGTAACTTTATAATCATACAAATTTGCTCTGTATCTCAGACATTTGCCATTTTTTGCATTCCTTTGTCTCTGTATAGTCTTTAAATCATTTTTGGATTTCTTCTCACAAATTTGCAAGCCCTTTTTTTGAAAAAACAAACAAACAAATGTTTAATTTAAAATTTAAAATAATTAACTCCATAGTTTTTTCACTAACTGCTAAATTTGTTTTCCACATATTTAAAGGAATATTCCAGCGTAAAGTTGGTATAACTAGAGAAGTCAGCAGTTGGCAACATTCATCTCTCAAGGGGTTGTCTAACTCGGTGCTACAGTGTGTTTGACCCCAAAATTTTACGCCGGAATATCCCTTTTAAGACTTAAACGTATTACATATTTGAGTCTTTTATTTCACAGTGTTTCAATTGATAAGTGACCAAAAAAACAGCAAAAATTTGCCTGTTATTTCTTGACAAGTTTGTCAGTTATTATAGATGTATTCCTGCAATTTTTTGGATCTTTTCACATCACCTTTTGACCCAAATTAAAACTTCTTAATCCCACTTATTTGCTCGTTTTTCATATAGACTTACTTCTTTATAATATAAAAAAATTGGTTCCTCAATCTTTCTTTAAGAATTAATGATTTAGAATTTAATGATTAATAATTAAATTTCCGCAATTATACACACATTTCAGATTCATTCATAGTTGCTGTTTTCTTTACATGTATTTGATTTTTAACTGTATTGAATAACTGTTTGATTTCAATAATTGTTTGAATTCAGAGAGAGCATTTTGCAAGTGCAGGTGGTTTTAAAACATGGGGAACAGCAGATTGACAAAAACTGAGACTGATTTTACCGTCAGTGGAGTTGCCCTCTGTTGGATTTTAGAGGAATTATTCCACATCTGTATTAACTCTCCCTTTCAGAGCTGGAGGCTATGACCACTTCTCATTTAAATCAAAGCTCCAGATAGTCTAACATCTCACCCTCTTGTCCTCCAGCTCTCGAGTGTCCTGACAACAGTCACTACTCAACATGTGGCCCAGCATGTCCAGCCACCTGTGGTCCTCAGCCAGAGGTGTGTCCGCATGAATGTGTCGAGGGTTGTTTCTGTGATGACGGATACGTTCAGAGTGGAGAAGAGTAAGTTCAACATCGTCAACAGTTTTCTTAAGGGTTAAATATTTAAATAACAGATCTGCACTTCACAGGATGACTGTATTCTGTTCAGGGATTTAAATAAAAGAGTTACACTTGGTTGAAAGGTGGTTAAAGTGCTTCAATACACCCTGTGTTTAGCATCGCTACATATTGATTATTGTTCAGATCTTTTTTGTTATTGTCCACATTCATGTTTCTTTCATATACAGACTCATTTCAAAATATTCACCACTTTTCATTGTTGTGCTGTATTTTAAAGTGTTTACAAGCTACTTTTTTTTTTTATATATAAACCAACTTTATGCTGAAATATTATTTTAGTTCAGCACTATCAGTTTATTTGCGCATACCAGATTGGAGATAATAAAAAAGGAATTTCTTCGTCTGTATGACTGTTTGTGCAGCCACATGACTCTTTAAGGACTATTAATACTTTGTGGTTTTGGACAATCAACAAATGTCACTTGGACCAAGACAAACCCAGCTAGCAGCCAAGCAAGCACACAGAGCACAAAGTGATAACAAATCCCTAACAATCACTAGAAACTTGAGATTTCTGGGTAAACACGACTCAATCATTTACTGAACTGAATGGGCAGAAGTTCAGACCATCTAGAACCCATAACTAAAATACACCTTCAAAGTGAAAATGAAGTTCAGTTGTTCAGTTGTTGACAATCTGAATGTTTTTTTTATTACATGTAATAGAAACAAGCTGCAGATAAATAGTGACAACCAGAGGTGGTATTTGCAGATCCTGATTTTTTTCCGTACCTGGATGATGAAACTGAACTGTCAATTTTCAAATGTTGAAAAGTAAAACTCAAATACTAAATGTTAAGTAGTATAAATCAGCCTTGTTTTGATTTTTTTAATCTGAGACATTATGATTTCCTTGCTTTTCTGTCTGATAGGTGTGTAATCAGAGAGCAGGGCTGTGGCTGTGAGTTTGAGGGACATTATCACAAACCTGGAGAGGAGTTTTGGGCCGACGATAAGTGCACTGAGAAGTGTGTATGTGACCCAGCCACACAAAGCGTGACGTGTGAACCTGCAGGATGTCAGGCTGGAGAGGTGTGCCGCATTGAAAATGGAGTCCGGGACTGCTACCCAATGCGCTTTGAGATGTGCGTCACTCGTGGGGACCCACACCATTATGGCTTTGATGGACGAAGGGTGGACTTCCAGGGCAACTGTGTGTACAGGCTGGCTGGTTTGTGCGGACCAAACCCCACAGGTCTGAAGCCCTTTGAGGTAAGCTACACAGAAACTAGCTGCGTTTACATGGACACAAATAAGCTGGCCCATGAGTCCAAGAGGCTTTTTTGTTCATCTTGGGTTCCTTCACAAGTTTCCCCCGATTCCACAGCTGTGGGTCACACACAGGGGTGTGGCTGAATTCTTTTAATTTTGTGGGGGGCACTTAAGAGACATTTTTGGTTGGATCTCCATTTTGACATTGTAGCCCTCAAGAGGACACCCCTCCATGTGGCTGCATATCTATAGCAAAATCACAGATGCAATTTTTTGAGTCATTTCATAGCGCCCCCTAGGTGAAGTTATACGGACCATGGTGCTGATTTTTTTGCCACTTTGGTACCGCGTCAGAATCTCAGTTACTCAGCTACATCCCATCAATAAAGAAGGAATTACAGGCCATAAACTGAAAAAACGCGATCAGCTTTGGCCACCATCACTAAGAGAAACTCCCCAAGCATGATAATCTAAAAAACGCGCTAGCCATTCTTCTTTTTTTTTCCGTCCATGTAGGGATACCTGTAAAATAGGTGTTTTTTCAGTCTGGCCCATTTAGTCTTAGTGCATGTGTAAGAACATCATGATCAGATTATTTGATTTTGCACCCACATAAACAGTTGATTTGTATTTTCTGATCCCTCATGTAAAAATGGCTCCTGTCAGACAAGATCTGCAGCAAAATAGAAAATGATAGTGTGTGTAGCCATCCAAGTTGGCAGCAAGAAGCAGAATTGTACCTAAATCAGCTTATTTAAAGGATTCAGTGAGGAAAACATCTGATAAGGTATCCATTTATAGGAATCAATATGATGCCTATGATGAAGGAAGTTGTCTCAGCAGACTCTATAAAGTCCTGAAAAACGGACATCTCATTGGGCATCATCCTACCTGCAGCATGATGCTCCTTACAAATGTTTTCTCATTTTCTAGCAAAACATGACAGCTTTAATTCTACTTCCAGTGTGAAGCTCCGGCTAACATCTGCACAGTTATTATAATCCACTCCTGTCACAAGCCTGTGATGGGCCTTGATATAAATATTTCAAGACCCTATCTTGCCACATCAGCACATTCCCAGGTTACGAAGGTGCACAGTCACAGACAACCATTTCAAACACTATAAAAGCAGAAAATTTGTGTGATCACATAAAAAAAACCCACCTCAAACCACCACAGTGCCCATTTCCAAGCACACACTCTGGTCCTGTTCTGCTGGGTCTATCCCTGTCACCAACATGATGTATTAACAGTTTGAGCTTCACACTTATCCAGTTGTCTTGCCCCCTGTTATTTCCGGGCACTGATTTTGTTTTGGCTCTCAAAAATCATACAGATTGCTGAGTGAGTATTTTCTTCAGCTTGCATCCCTGTACAAGCTTAGCAGAAAAAAAAGTTCACACCAATTATCAGCATGGAGTCATAAAACTTTTCAAAAGAAAATAACCTTATTTGGCGAGTAATTATAATGCATACTGACTATTTGGGGGATATGTGGTTCAGTAACTAACATAATCACAAACATAGATATAATGGCTGAAGTCTTATTCAACACTGTTAGTGTTCTAATTTTAAAAAATCTCACATGCATGTGTCCAGAAATGTTTGTCCACTTTACAACTCGACATGATGATCAATGCCGTGTATCTGACCTGACCCTACAATGACAAAAATGATCAAAAGTGACATTTCAAAACCTATTTCAGTGCCAGTGTCACCACCCCATAATTTTTGTTGTTAGAATACTGTTCACTGCTACGAAGCTGGATTAACACACCCTGGATAACTGTGCCACAACCCGATCAACTTCACCAGATCAGCTGTACTATGAGGCAGGATATCAACTCGATAACTGAATCCAGCTGAGGCCAGTCTAGATCTGTGCACGCACATGTAAAGGGTGAGGGGTTGGTACCACCGAACCACTCTCCACAATGGAGGATGCTGCACGTCATATTTCACAGCCAAGGAACAGAGCATTATTTTACGCAAATACAGGGAGTACTGTGACATTATAGCGACAAGGAGCACGACTGCTGCAGCCGCAGGAAGCCAGAGGGGCTGCCGGCAAAAATTCACCGATAGTGTAGATTACATTTGTGCATTCATAAATTTATGGTACCCTAGTATGTTTTCATGCAGTGTGTGTGATCACCTCCATCATTGACCTCATTATTTCAGATGCAACAGCAATGGGGAAAAGAGTATGCGGGAGCAAATAAAAATAGATATAAAAACATCATTCAAAGTGGTTTGTAGGTTTATTGGAAGATTTTATTTCAACATGTAAACAGTGATTTCCTTGCACTACCTCGATGTGGAGCTTTTTTTTATTTTTACTCCATCATCTGACGGTCCCATGTCATCTGCAGTCACATTTGGGGTTAAGAGGAGCTTTCTACTCTGCTTCAATAAATTCTAAATGATGACTGATATGCTGCACGAAACTCAAACTTGGAGCTTGGCAAATATCAGTGCATTACTTAGACTTCATGCTACCTGAATATTGAGGCCTTCCAAGGAAAACCTGTAACATTCAAAGAGAACGTCATCAGGTAAATCAAACGGATTTGAACGATCATGAATATAACGCTCTTGGCAAAGCACTCCTCTCACTATCCGTGCACCGATGTCCATGGGATCCAGCAAAAGTGGGCAAACCATTTTCCAAGAGATCCGACTGGTCAGTCGGTGGTCTTTTACACCCGCTGAGATCTTATCCTGAAACATAACCTGCTCCAGAGCGGGTTTGGCGTTCTGCACAAGTTACCCGAGCAACGGAAAATCCAGGAGTTATCCAGAATTTATCTCGCTAAGATCACATCTAGCTTCGAAGTACAGTCCTCGGGTCAGTACATCTGTGCATGATTTGCTGAAAACAAACAAAAAAAAGACACTTTAAGAGTTGTAAAATCAAAGTTTGCCGCTGGCTCTATATGCAATATTGACAGGCTAGACATTATTTTAAAGTTGCAACTTCCAACATTTTTCTGAGGTATAATAACTCAAATAATGTGCGACAACATGTCCAATTCTATTTTATATACTGTGTAGAACATTTTATTTTTGTTGTTGTTGTTGCGTGCATTTTTTTCTTCTTTTTAATTTTTTTTTATATAATTCTTTTTGTATAGGACTAAGTTAACTTTTTTTAAAAATATCTGTGCACTGTATACTTATTCTTCTATTTTGCTGTGCTGATCCTGCTGTGAGCACTACAAATTTCCCTACAGCAGGATGAATAAAGGTTTATCTTATTTTATTTTATCTTATCTTGTCTTATCTTACACAATGACGCTAAAATGGATTAAAAACAGAAAGAGAAAGGTTTTTGTTCTACCTGTATTCAAAGATCATTTTACTTCACTCTGTGGATTCTTATTTAACCCTTTATTTGTTATCCTCTCCTCTTCTGCCTCCTTTTGTCTCTCTTTCCTCCCTCGCTCTTCTAACTTTGTTGAATTGCAGATTACTCTGGAGAACGAAAACCGCAACGGCAACAAACGAGTATCTTACGCCAAGGCAGTGACACTTAAGGTCTTCGGCAAAGAGTTTACGCTTACACGGGATAACCCAGGCAAAGTGCTGGTGAGAAATAAGCTCAAGTACACACCGTCACGCATATGTGCAAACTGTGGGTGTTGAGGCTAATTTATACTGTATGTCTGCATGGGAGTTAAGTGTGCCTGTACTTTGCATTGATTTTATCGATATCTCTGCACTTTTTTGAAAACAATCTAAACATTACTGTGACTTTGAAAATTGTGCGGGCAGGATTGAGCAGTGTAGACAACAATAACAGGAAAAACTGCAGAACACAACCGAGAAGAATGCGTCTAAAACAGTGCAATATTTTAGGAATGATTGTTTGGGCTGGTTTCAGAGAGAAAAATGTACTTTTTCCAATGTTTATTTCTAAAGCCAGCATAAGCAGCAGAGGCCTACCTGTCATGTCATTTTGGAGTACTTTTATTTCTGCAGCCTTTAGTCCTAGTCAACAAGAGGGGGACATGTAACATTTTCACAGTCTTTCCTGTACCGAGGTTAAAGTTTGGTTCAGTTCCTGTCTTAATATTAAAATTGACAGAGACTTGTCTCTATTGAGATAGTCTGACAGCCATACAGAACTCAGACCTACTGTTTTCTCTTTGCTACTACCAACCACAAGTACTGCTGGGTACCAGCATCTGCTCAGTATTTATTCTGATTATGGAGTAGGGCACTCTCAGAACTCTATTATATTACTGCTGACTGATCCCAGTCAGCATTCTGTACAATACCGGTCATCCCTGTGGAGACACAGATGTCTCTCATAAGGGTATAAGAGGTATTCTGCCTGGTAGTTGCTCGATCTTATCCTGTTTTTTATCTGTTTCAGTTCTTCTGTTAGTGTTCAGCCATGTGTTCTTATGGACACCCGTGTCTGTCATCAAAGATGATGATGACCTAATGCATTATTTGGGTTAGAGCAGAAAGTCAGAAAACTTGCTTTGTTGCACTGGCTAATGTACAGTTTGATAACATGAGAAAATGTAGACCTTGAATATGAGATGGTTCTGCTTTTCCTCATGTATTTAGATGACAGACAATATCTTAGATTTGGACTAAAACAGTTTTCTTTGGGGAATCATCTTGACAAACATTTTGTCTGATGATATCTCTACCTGCCAGAAACACCACCCAACGTGAACCCTCCATCAATCTGAAAATTTCCACATAGTCAACAAGCAGAGGTGAAACGTGCTTGAACGTCTTTCTGCACACTGATTTGAAATGACGTGGGATTTGGTTGTTCTTGTTGTTTTTGCTTTTCAGATTGGATTGCTGCTGTAGTTGTTATGTGTTTTGACCAGTTAGGATGAGGTACTTGACACAGCTGGGTCATGAGTGGGAGAAAAGTTGTTGTTAAAGCTGTTGATTGTTTACTGAAATATCTGGTCACACCACAAAGACTGCTGATGAAATGTATTTTCTTTGATGGGAGAGGAAATTTGAAGGCATACTGTGATCCGGACAATAAATAACCAGCAAATTCTGCAAATGTCCTTGACAGAGAACCAACATGGACACTAAGGGCTCTATTTTCGTTCACGCCGATTAAGGCGGCGGAGGGCGGCGAGCCCCGCGCAGTTGTATTTTCGTCTGGTGGAGCCCGGCGTAAGGCGAGTTTGGTATTTTCGTGGACTGAGTCGCACGGAGGCGAGCCGAGATCCGCCAAGCTGGGCGTGGTGGCGTGGCAGGGGGAGGTGTTGACAGAATCAGCTGGCGCAGTGACATTTTCGTGCTCGCCACCGGCGTGTAACGTGCGCTGAAAGCTCGCCGATTCAAACCTGGTCAGCTTTCAGCGCAAGGCAGAACGCAGCTGGTCTAGTAGTATTTTGGTAGACCGGCGGCGTATCTACATACGTCACCGATGCCTCACCGGCAGGTTTCCACAGTGTCAGGCAGATTTCAGTGCAATAAATAATCATCAACAACTATTAATCTGAGTCAGCACATACATTTAGATCTATATCGATATATTCTGATCTATATCTGATCTGATGAGCGCGTTTGGCACGCGTTTGGGCACACAACCTGACCGAATCAATACAGCTGAAACTGCATCAAATTAAATTAAATATCTAGTAAATAAACACACATGATGAAGTTAACAAGATATGTAATGTGTCTCCCTCCTTTTCTTTCTTCCTCTTATTTCTCGCACAGCTCGACCTGGACACGTCTCCGTGTCCTCTGTCCGTCTTGCTGCTGCTGCTGCAGCTGAACAGATGATTTGTTTCAGTGCTCAGATGCGTGATCTACTTTAAGCCGACATACGGATATCATAATATTCAGTTTTGTGGGCCAAATTTATTTTATATGCCAACATCTATGAAAGAAAGAGCCAGGCCACGGAGCGCGATGCGTCATTTACGCACAGATGGTTCCGATTTTAATGCCATTTTTGGAGTTTATGTTGTGATCTGTACGCTAAACCCCCCTTTGTCACGTGAGGTTTGAATATATGCAACTTTATGTGAGTGTCTTTTTTGTGGAAAAGGGTGTTTGTCTTACCAGTGGGTCCAACATTACGCACACCAAATCCATCTGTGCTCAAGTGAGAGAGTGTGGAGGACACTTGTTTAGCAGCTGCCCTCTGTCGCCATCGTGTGGCATAACTGTCTTCAGACATCTCTTGATCTCTTTGACTACTTCATGAAAATAGTAATACGCCTCGCCGGTGGCGGATTTAAAGGCAAGGAGAGGAGCTTATGTGATTGGTGAAAACAGGTCTCGGCTGTGTTAAACCCCTTATACGCCCTCTCTCCTCCCCATCTACGAATTATGCTGCCGGGAGGAGCTGAGTTAGGGAGGGGGGATACTTACGCCGGGCTGCGCGGCTCACCAAAATACCAAAATGTGCTTGGGAACGCCTTGTCAGCGCGGCGGATCTGATTGACGCTGCGCTTGCGGCAGATCTCCGGCGAGGCACCAAAATAGAGCCCTAAGTCTTTTTTTTCCCCCACAGGTGGATGGTCTTGAAAGGTCCCTGCCGATGTCATGGGAAAACTCTCTTGTGCAGGGTCAGCTCCAACACAGACATGCTGTCATTGAGACACACTTTGTCAAGGTATTTATGAATGTATTTCAATGCTAAATAGAACATCTTGAAGTAAACTGGCCCTGCTTTGAGAGTACTGAACAATAGGGTGCATTGTTTTTATCATGCCCCTGCCATAAGGGAACTCTGGGGGTCTGGTCCCACAGTTTAAGATCATCGTTTGCCTTGACAACATATTTTGAAGGAATAAAAATCAAAAATGTATTACATGCCGCTACGTTAGAAAAAGAAGTCGACTCCAGTTGAAGGCAAAGTTTCTGTTTCAACTTCATGTATGTTTGAGGTAAATTACTTTTAAGGACTTTTTTCTTCATGTTTTCTTGGTTGCAGGTCTCCTTTGACTTCTCCAGTACAGTGAAGGTACACCTGGCTTCAAGTTATAATAACGCAGTCTGTGGTCTGTGTGGAAACATGAACGGAGACCCTTCAGACGACATGATGCTGCCCAATGGGGAGCAGGCCGCTACTGCCAACGAGTTTGGAGTGAGCCAATGGGTAGCCGATGTGGAGGGCTGCTCCAAAGAGTGTAAGAAGCTCATTCACTGTAATCATGAATGTTCTGAGCAACAACTAACTATAAGTAAGACAGGGGTCAACGATCTGCAGTTGCCTGGGCGATCTTCAGTGGAGAAATGCGCTGTAAATAAAAAACAAAACATGTTGCAAAAAGCTAAAACAACTGCATAATCAGCAAATACATAAAGCACAGAAGCATCTGCAATAAGCATCAAAGCAGCAAATACATGAGATGCTCTGACGTTTATTGATTTTGATCAAATGTTTCTTTGGGTTGAAAGCAAGATGTAAAAATGTATCAAGGATGATAATGGGACTGCTGCTGTTTTATTCCATACTCAGGTGAAGACTGTCCTCCAGATATCCCTCCTGGCACCGAGCCACCCGATTACACCAAGGACTGTGACATAATAACAGCAGAGGATGGACCCCTGGCTGGATGCATAAAACTCCTTAAAGCCGAACAGTACCATGAAGACTGTGTGTATGACATGATGCTGACAGACGGCAGTCGAGATGCAGCCTGCGCCATCATTAGAGATTATGTGGAAGAATGTCTGAGTAAAGGTGGCGAGGTCAAACCATGGAGGACAAAGAAATTCTGCCGTAAGTCTTGTATTGTTTTTTGTTGTTGTTGTTGTAACCCAAGCTTATAAGTACCATAGGAAAAAATAAGGTAGCTAAGAGCAATCACACAGCTACAGCTGTGAAGATTTTTTAACCCACAGAAACAAACAGCACATTGATGCATCTATGTCTGTCTTCTCCATCTCTGGGGCTACAGGCAGTGCTGTGCAAGTTCACAATTAAAATGAGTTTCCTGCAGCTTAATCTTTTTTTTTTTCCAGTAAAGCTCCCTAAGCTTCAATCCCTAACCCTCAACCATTTACATTTTCAGTGCCACATACGAAGAAACACGTCAAAGAAAAGTTAAACGTAGCATTTACACAGAACATTCAGAAATGTTGGAATGTCAAAAGCAAACAAACTGGATCCAGAAGTTCCAAAAGTTTAAATTTAGACAAATTAAAGGGGCTCCAGGACTGTAGAAGGTACTCAGGGAAGCTAGATTTGGTGATACCCATTTTAGGAATAAATAATAAACACGTTCAATTAGGGCTCTTGGGAGACAGAGATGCGGAGCAGGGTCATATACAGACCTCCACTCTTTCACGATGACAAAGGTATTTTATGTATGATTAACATGTATCATACCGTGTATATGTATGTGTGTTGCAGCAATGAAGTGTCCTGCTGGCAGCGAGTACAGTCTCCAAGCGCCTGGCTGCCCAATCACCTGCAGCTCCCTATCTCCACCGGCCCCCTGTCAAATCCCACCCAGCGAGGGCTGTGTGTGCAAGAAAGGAAAATTGATGGGAAAGGTAATATTCTTCTTTATGCCTGTGTGACTACGTTCTAGTTCTTTAACTATTTGTAGTACTTTTCAGTCAATCAGTCTGTATTCATATTGTGCAAATCCACAACAAATGACATCTCAAGACCCTTACTAAAAAGTAGTGTTCTCGACCATACTCTTGGAGTAATTTTATCTAAACATGCATTGAATACAATAGAGAGACATCCTATGAATCTTGGGCTGATTTTTAAACATTTTAGGAAAAATGAATCCCAAAACAAGGGTTTTGAAGTTGCGTAAGTAGGTTGTTTCAGACTGAAGTAGAACAGGATATAGTGGCAGCCATGTAATTTTTGGGGATGCACTGATCCACCATTTTGAGTTCCGTTACCAACTCAAGTTGACAAGTCCCCGATGTTGGCAAGTCCCCAATGTCCCTTAACCTGAGAAAGGTCCATGGACAGGAGCTGAACAGACACTTAGCTCTCTGCTCTCTCTGCCCCATCTTAAATAATTTATAAAGACTTATTGCAACGAAAGGTCTTGTTAAATATGTCAAAACTTCTGCAAGTGCCAAAAGGGGGCTATGCAGTGCAAGGAAAAACCCTGCAAGGCAAATGAGAAATGTGATATATTAAATGGAGTGAGAGGCTGCTACAAGGAGAGTGATGGAGAAAGCAGCAGCCAGTCAGAAGAAGGAGGAGGGGATAATGACAATGGAGGAGTAGGAGGGGTTGATGTAAGCGCTCCATGAATTTTTAAATGATAAGAACTTTTTATGAATTTTATTATTAATTTCGCAAAGGGCTATTTTCAACCAATATATAAATATCAATCTTTGTGGCCAAGTTGTTTGACTTTGAAAAACGACACGAGCTAACATTAGTTGGATATTTAAGTTGACCCATTGTACACAGTACAATTTGTTTACCACTTCAGTGTGAGCTGAGGAAAGACATAATTTATTGTTTTACTTATCTGATTTTGACTGGTTAGAGGAATCCATGAATCCGTAGGTATTTAACAGGGTGACCATACGTCCTCTTTTACCCAGACATGTCCTTTTTGGGGGGGCTGTCCGGCCTGTCTGGGGGGAGTTTATAAAATCCTTCAAATGTCTGCGGTTTTGTATGCAAGCCCATTTTTCCCACTGGTGGAAACAGGCTTCCATAGTTTTGAGTTTGTGTTGCGTGTACTTTATATTTGCATCACAGAACATTGTATTTACCATACACGTTCAATGGTTCATTTGGAAACACACTCTGAGAGGTGGAGTTCCTCGCCAAACCCTGTGCAGTGCATCAATGCTCTCTGCTGCTCTGCCCCTCCACTCAGTTGTGAGCAAAGCCACTGATGAAACACACTAATGCACTGTCTGCCAGTGAGCGAAAGAAAATGGAGAAATATTTGTATGTGACTGATAATTTTGTTGAGGAGAAATGCTTTAGATAAATGAATATATTGTTTATAAACGCAACTTTGTGTGAGTATCTTTCAGTATCTCCAAGAGGCCCGCTTGAGTGTTTTTTTGGGAATTCAGAATCTGTGTTTAATTGAGTCAGAAGCATGTAAAAAACACTCGACCCGACCTGAAAAACCCTTAAAATCACGTGCACAACTCTGTCCCACATAGTAGTGTTCTCTTTTTGGGGATTCAGAATATGGTCACCCTATGTTTAATCATGTTGGTCTTGCATCCTCCTTTGGCAGAAAAATTTCAAGCATTTTTGCGGTCCATGTTCAGACAAGTGATGGTCTTGCCGGTGGACGCACAGAGAACACAAAGCTGAGAAATACACGCCCCAAAAACAAACTAGTGTGGGCACTTGAAACCAGAAAATATAATTTAAAAATCGAAATTTAAAAATCTGCTTAATGATTCCAGAACCGGACGTTAGGATTATTTCAGCTTTTGTTTGCTATGTCCCTGCCATCCCTCTCAACATGACGTTGAATTAAGCCTGAAATTGCTTTCCCCAAACCCCTGAGCCTTGTTAGCTAGCTCAGTCCATGTTACATTTAGGGCTCACTCAAGCAAAATGCAAAGACCTGCTGGCACTGATGACATAGTCCAGCACATTGCCGTTGTAAACACAAAGGAGCATAGATCTGAGCTGACTAAACCTGCTCCAAGGATTGGCCTTCAGGATCAGGCCTTTAGCTTTTTGGGTGCATATCTGGCTTATTTCTGATACCAGGGTCATAATTGTTGGGGGACATTTTCTATAGCAAGTTGCATTAAAAAAATAAAGTTCTTGTTTAAGCCCATCAAGAGCAAAGAAGGCCGTTTAAAGAGTCTGATTACTTTAAAGAAAGGATCATTATAGAGATGAACAGTTTTCAGGGAGACATATATTACAATTTAATTTTGGAATACTCAAGTGGTCTTATGGTGGATGTTCACCCATTCTTAATTTTCCTGAATGTGTCCAAGATGCCTTCATCTAACTGGTTATTGATTGGCACATATATCAATAGATATACAGTACAGGCCAAAAGTTTGGACACACCTTCTCATTCAATGTCTTTTCTTTATTTTTTTATATGACTGTTTACATTGTAGATTATTACTGAAGGCATTAAAACTATGAATGAACACATGTAGAATTTTGTACTTATATAGAAAGTGTGAAATAACCGAAAACATGTTTTATATTCTAGTTTCTTTAAAATAGCCACCCTTTGCTCTCGATGACAGAACTACCTTGTCAGGGTTACTTCAGGCACTCCTGTGAGGTAAAAACCATTTCAGGTGACTACCTCATGAAGCTCATTGAGAGAACAGCTAAAGTTTGCAGCGCTATCAAAAAAGCAAAGGGTGGCTACTTTGAGGAATCTAAAATATAAAACATGTTTTCAGTTATTTCACACTTTTTTCTTAAGCACATGATTCCACATGTGTTCATTCATAGTTTTGAGAATCTACAATTTAAATAGTAATGAAAACAAAGAAAATGCATTGAATGAGAAGGTGTGTCCAAACTTTTGGCCTGTACTGTATGTGGATAGAGATGTTTTCTGCCACCTGACATTCGAATTCAACACCCCATGTGAGGCCTAATAATACTCACGTTTGGCACCATGTGTCATTTTTTAAACACAAAGTTCACTTTAGAAAATAAATCTGCACTCTAATTTTACATATTCTAGGGTTATACATGGCTGATAGCCACACAAATTTTGTTCAGCTTTCAAAAGTGAAACAGGCTTAAGTGAGAGTAAAGTTTTTAAGAGCAAATATCCCTGATTCAAATATATCCACCAAAAATGTTATTTTCTTAGATGATAGGGTTAAATTCTTGTTAGCGATTAATGTCATTGTTTTAGAAAAGATTTTATTTGCAGCTTGTCAAAACAAAAAGTTGCGATATCACAATCTATTCAGACTCCTTACTTGACCTGATAGGTTTATAACTTTAAGAAGAATCTCTTTGCTTCAGGACCGGTGACCATGTGATTTTACACTGAAAGTTGTGCTTTTTCTTTAACAGAATGGCTGTGTGAACCTGGCTAAATGTGGCTGTAGAGTAAAAGAACAGTTCTTTGAGCCTGGTGAGGGATACTATAAAAACAATACATGTCAAACCTTCTGCAAGTGCAAAAAGGGGGCTATGGAGTGCAAGGAAAAACCCTGCAAGGCAAATGAGAAATGTAATATATTGAATGGAGTTAGAGGCTGCTACAAGGAAAGTGATGAAGACAGCAGCAGCCAGTCAGAAGGAGGAGAGGATAATGACAACGGAGGAGTAGGAGGGGTTGATGTAAGCGATGGAGAAGAAAATGATGACAGCAAAGTAGAAGGAGACAACGGAGGAGGAAGCGATGATGACAGTCAAGGGGATGATGAAGGGGATGATGACAACCAGGATGAAGAACAAGTGGATGACAATGGAGGAGGAAGCCATGATGGCAGTCAAGGAGACGGAGAGGAAGGAGGGGATGATGACAACCAAGACGAAGAACAAGTGGATGACAATGGAGGAGGAAGCAATGATGGCAGTCAAGGGGATGATGAAGGGGATGATGACAACCAGGACGAAGAACAAGTGGATGACAATGGAGGAGGAAGCCATGATGGCAGTCAAGGGGATGATGAAGGGGATGATGACAACCAGGACGAAGAACAAGTGGATGACAATGGAGGAGGAAGTCATGATGGCAGTCAAGGGGACGGAGAGGAAGGAGGGGATGATGACAACCAAGACGAAGAACAAGTGGATGACAATGGAGGAGGAAGCAATGATGGCAGTCAAGGGGACGGAGAGGAAGGAGGGGATGATGACAACCAGGACGAAGAACAAGTGGATGACAATGGAGGAGGAAGCCATGATGGCAGTCAAGGGGATGATGAAGGGGATGATGACAACCAAGACGAAGAACAAGTGGATGACAATGGAGGAGGAAGTCATGATGGCAGTCAAGGGGACGGAGAGGAAGGAGGGGATGATGACAACCAAGACGAAGAACAAGTGGATGACAATGGAGGAGGAAGCCATGATGGCAGTCAAGGGGATGATGAAGGAGATGATGACAACCACGACGAAGAACAAGTGGATGACAATGGAGGAGGAAGTCATGATGGCAGTCAAGGGGACGGAGAGGAAGGAGGGGATGATGACAACCAAGACGAAGAACAAGTGGATGACAATGGAGGAGGAAGTCAAGATGGCAGTCAAGGTGATGGAGAGGAAGGAGGGGATGATGAAAACCTGGACGAAGAACAAGTGGATGACAATGGAGGAGGAAGCAATGATGGCAGTCAAGGGGATGATGAAGGGGATGATGACAACCAGGACGAAGAACAAGTGGATGACAATGGAGGAGGAAGTCAAGATGGCAGTCAAGGTGATGGAGAGGAAGGAGGGGATGATGACAACCAAGACGAAGAACAAGTGGATGACAATGGAGGAGGAAGCCATGATGGCAGTCAAGGGGATGATGAAGGGGATGAAGACAACCAGGACGAAGAACAAGTGGATGACAATGGAGGAGGAAGCCATGATGGCAGTCAAGGGGACGGAGAGGAAGGAGGGGATGATGACAACCAAGATGAAGAACAAGTGGATGACAATGGAGGAGGAAGCAATGATGGCAGTCAAGGGGATGATGAAGGGAATGATGACAACCAGGACGAAGAACAAGTGGATGACAATGGAGGAGGAAGCCATGATGGCAGTCAAGGGGACGGAGAGGAAGGAGGGGATGATGACAACCAAGATGAAGAACAAGTGGATGACAATGGAGGAGGAAGCCATGATGGCAGTCAAGGGGATGGAGAGGAAGGAGGGGATGATGACAACCAAGACGAAGAACAAGTGGATGACAATGGAGGAGGAAGCCATGATGGCAGTCAAGGGGATGGAGAGGAAGGAGGGGATGATGACAACCAAGATGAAGAACAAGTGGATGACAATGGAGGAGGAAGCAATGATGGCAGTCAAGGGGATGATGAAGGGAATGATGACAACCAGGACGAAGAACAAGTGGATGACAATGGAGGAGGAAGCCATGATGGCAGTCAAGGGGACGGAGAGGAAGGAGGGGATGATGACAACCAAGATGAAGAACAAGTGGATGACAATGGAGGAGGAAGCCATGATGGCAGTCAAGGGGACGGAGAGGAAGGAGGGGATGATGACAACCAAGATGAAGAACAAGTGGATGAAAATGGAGGAGGAAGCAATGATGGCAGTCAAGGGGACGGAGAGGAAGGAGGGGATGATGACAACCAAGATGAAGAACAAGTGGATGAAAATGGTGGAGGAAGCCATGATGGCAGTCAAGGGGATGGAGAGGAAGGAGGGGATGATGACAACCAAGATGAAGAACAAGTGGATGACAATGGAGGAGGAAGCCATGATGGCAGTCAAGGGGATGATGAAGGGGATGATGACAACCAGGACGAAGAACAAGTGGATGACAATGGAGGAGGAAGCCATGATGGCAGTCAAGGGGATGATGAGGGGGATGATGACAACCAGGACGAAGAACAAGTGGATGACAATGGAGGAGGAAGCCATGATGGCAGTCAAGGGGATGATGAAGGGGATGATGACAACCAAGATGAAGAACAATTGGATGACAATGGAGGAGGAAGCCATGATGGCAGTCAAGGAGACGGAGAAGAAGGAGGGGATGATGACAACCAAGACGAAGAACAAGTGGATGACAATGGAGGAGGAAGCAATGATGGCAGTAAAGGGGATGATGAGGGGGATGATGACAACCAAGATGAAGAACAAGTGGATGACAATGGAGGAGGAAGCAATGATGGCAGTCAAGGGGATGATGAAGGGGATGATGACAACCAAGACGAAGAACAAGTGGATGACAATGGAGGAGGAAGTCATGATGGCAGTCAAGGGGACGGAGAGGAAGGAGGGGATGATGACAACCAAGATGAAGAACAAGTGGATGACAATGGAGGAGGAAGTCAAGATGGCAGTCAAGGTGACGGAGAGGAAGGAGGGGATGATGACAACCAGGACGAAGAACAAGTGGATGACAATGGAGGAGGAAGCCATGATGGCAGTCAAGGGGATGATGAAGGGGATGATGACAACCAGGACGAAGAACAAGTGGATGACAATGGAGGAGGAAGTCATGATGGCAGTCAAGGGGAAGGAGAGGAAGGAGGGGATGATGACAACCAAGACGAAGAACAAGTGGATGACAATGGAGGAGGAAGCCATGATGGCAGTCAAGGGGATGATGAAGGGGATGATGACAACCACGACGAAGAACAAGTGGATGACAATGGAGGAGGAAGTCATGATGGCAGTCAAGGGGACGGAGAGGAAGGAGGGGATGATGACAACCAAGACGAAGAACAAGTGGATGACAATGGAGGAGGAAGTCAAGATGGCAGTCAAGGTGATGGAGAGGAAGGAGGGGATGATGAAAACCAGGACGAAGAACAAGTGGATGACAATGGAGGAGGAAGCAATGATGGCAGTCAAGGGGATGATGAAGGGGATGATGACAACCAGGACGAAGAACAAGTGGATGACAATGGAGAAGGAAGTCAAGATGGCAGTCAAGGTGATGGAGAGGAAGGAGGGGATGATGACAACCAAGACGAAGAACAAGTGGATGACAATGGAGGAGGAAGCCATGATGGCAGTCAAGGGGATGGAGAGGAAGGAGGGGATGATGACAACCAAGATGAAGAACAAGTGGATGACAATGGAGGAGGAAGCAATGATGGCAGTCAAGGGGATGATGAAGGGAATGATGACAACCAGGACGAAGAACAAGTGGATGACAATGGAGGAGGAAGCCATGATGGCAGTCAAGGGGACGGAGAGGAAGGAGGGGATGATGACAACCAAGATGAAGAACAAGTGGATGACAATGGAGGAGGAAGCCATGATGGCAGTCAAGGGGACGGAGAGGAAGGAGGGGATGATGACAACCAAGATGAAGAACAAGTGGATGACAATGGAGGCGGAAGCAATGATGGCAGTCAAGGGGACGGAGAGGAAGGAGGGGATGATGACAACCAAGACGAAGAACAAGTGGATGAAAATGGAGGAGGAAGCAATGATGGCAGTCAAGGGGATGATGAGGGGGATGATGACAACCAAGATGAAGAACAATTGGATGACAATGGAGGAGGAAGCCATGATGGCAGTCAAGGAGACGGAGAAGAAGGAGGGGATGATGACAACCAAGACGAAGAACAAGTGGATGACAATGGAGGAGGAAGTCATGATGGCAGTAAAGGGGATGATGAGGGGGATGATGACAACCAAGATGAAGAACAAGTGGATGACAATGGAGGAGGAAGCAATGATGGCAGTCAAGGGGATGATGAAGGGGATGATGACAACCAGGACGAAGAACAAGTGGATGACAATGGAGGAGGAAGTCATGATGGCAGTCAAGGGGACGGAGAGGAAGGAGGGGATGATGACAACCAAGACGAAGAACAAGTGGATGACAATGGAGGAGGAAGTCAAGATGGCAGTCAAGGTGACGGAGAGGAAGGAGGGGATGATGACAACCAGGACGAAGAACAAGTGGATGACAATGGAGGAGGAAGCCATGATGGCAGTCAAGGGGATGATGAAGGGGATGATGACAACCAGGACGAAGAACAAGTGGATGACAATGCAGGAGGAAGTCATGATGGCAGTCAAGGGGAAGGAGAGGAAGGAGGGGATGATGACAACCAAGACGAAGAACAAGTGGATGACAATGGAGGAGGAAGCCATGATGGCAGTCAAGGGGATGATGAAGGGGATGATGACAACCACGACGAAGAACAAGTGGATGACAATGGAGGAGGAAGTCATGATGGCAGTCAAGGGGACGGAGAGGAAGGAGGGGATGATGACAACCAAGACGAAGAACAAGTGGATGACAATGGAGGAGGAAGTCAAGATGGCAGTCAAGGTGATGGAGAGGAAGGAGGGGATGATGAAAACCAGGACGAAGAACAAGTGGATGACAATGGAGGAGGAAGCAATGATGGCAGTCAAGGGGATGATGAAGGGGATGATGACAACCAGGACGAAGAACAAGTGGATGACAATGGAGAAGGAAGTCAAGATGGCAGTCAAGGTGATGGAGAGGAAGGAGGGGATGATGACAACCAAGACGAAGAACAAGTGGATGACAATGGAGGAGGAAGCCATGATGGCAGTCAAGGGGATGGAGAGGAAGGAGGGGATGATGACAACCAAGATGAAGAACAAGTGGATGACAATGGAGGAGGAAGCAATGATGGCAGTCAAGGGGATGATGAAGGGAATGATGACAACCAGGACGAAGAACAAGTGGATGACAATGGAGGAGGAAGCCATGATGGCAGTCAAGGGGACGGAGAGGAAGGAGGGGATGATGACAACCAAGATGAAGAACAAGTGGATGACAATGGAGGAGGAAGCCATGATGGCAGTCAAGGGGACGGAGAGGAAGGAGGGGATGATGACAACCAAGATGAAGAACAAGTGGATGACAATGGAGGCGGAAGCAATGATGGCAGTCAAGGGGACGGAGAGGAAGGAGGGGGTGATGACAACCAAGACGAAGAACAAGTGGATGAAAATGGAGGAGGAAGCAATGATGGCAGTCAAGGGGACGGAGAGGAAGGAGGGGATGATGACAACCAAGATGAAGAACAAGTGGATGACAATGGTGGAGGAAGTCAAGATGGCAGTCAAGGGGATGGAGAGGAAGGAGGGGATGATGACAACCAGGACGAAGAACAAGTGGATGACAATGGAGGAGGAAGCCATGATGGCAGTCAAGGGGACGGAGAGGAAGGAGGGGATGATGACAACCAAGATGAAGAACAAGTGGATGAAAATGGAGGCGGAAGCAATGATGGCAGTCAAGGGGACGGAGAGGAAGAAGGGGATGATGACAACCAAGACGAAGAACAAGTGGATGAAAATGGAGGAGGAAGCCATGATGGCAGTCAAGGGGACGGAGAGGAAGGAGGGGATGATGACAACCAAGATGAAGAACAAGTGGATGACAATGGAGGAGGAAGTCAAGATGGCAGTCAAGGGGATGGAGAGGAAGGAGGGGATGATGACAACCAGGACGAAGAACAAGTGGATGACAATGGAGGAGGAAGCCATGATGGCAGTCAAGGGGACGGAGAGGAAGGAGGGGATGATGACAACCAAGATGAAGAAATAGTGGATGAAAATGGAGGCGGAAGCAATGATGGCAGTCAAGGGGACGGAGAGGAAGAAGGGGATGATGACAACCAAGACGAAGAACAAGTGGATGAAAATGGAGGAGGAAGCAATGATGGCAGTCAAGGGGACGGAGAGGAAGGAGGGGATGATGACAACCAAGATGAAGAACAAGTGGATGACAATGGAGGAGGAAGTCAAGATGGCAGTCAAGGGGATGGAGAGGAAGGAGGGGATGATGACAACCAGGACGAAGAACAAGTGGATGACAATGGAGGAGGAAGCCATGATGGCAGTCAAGGGGATGATGTAGGGGATGATGACAACCAAGACGAAGAACAAGTGGATGACAATGGAGGAGGAAGCCATGATGGCAGTCAAGGGGATGATGAAGGGGATGATGACAACCAGGACGAAGAACAAGTGGATGACAATGGAGGAGGAAGCCATGATGGCAGTCAAGGGGATGATGAGGGGGATGACGACAACCAGGACGAAGAACAAGTGGATGACAATGGAGGAGGAAGCCATGATGGCAGTCAAGGGGATGATGAAGGGGATGATGACAACCAAGATGAAGAACAAGTGGATGACAATGGAGGAGGAAGCCATGATGGCAGTCAAGGAGACGGAGAAGAAGGAGGGGATGATGACAACCAAGGCGAAGAACAAGTGGATGACAATGGAGGAGGAAGCAATGATGGCAGTAAAGGGGATGATGAGGGGGATGATGACAACCAGGACGAAGAACAAGTGGATGACAATGGAGGAGGAAGCCATGATGGCAGTCAAGGGGATGATGAAGGGGATGATGACAACCAGGACGAAGAACAAGTGGATGACAATGGAGGAGGAAGTCATGATGGCAGTCAAGGGGACGGAGAGGAAGGAGGGGATGATGACAACCAAGACGAAGAACAAGTGGATGACAATGGAGGAGGAAGTCAAGATGGCAGTCAAGGTGACGGAGAGGAAGGAGGGGATGATGACAACCAGGACGAAGAACAAGTGGATGACAATGGAGGAGGAAGCCATGATGGCAGTCAAGGGGATGATGAAGGGGATGATGACAACCAAGACGAAGAACAAGTGGATGACAATGGAGGAGGAAGTCATGATGGCAGTCAAGGGGACGGAGAGGAAGGAGGGGATGATGACAACCAAGACGAAGAACAAGTGGATGACAATGGAGGAGGAAGCCATGATGGCAGTCAAGGGGATGATGAAGGGGATGATGACAACCACGACGAAGAACAAGTGGATGACAATGGAGGAGGAAGTCATGATGGCAGTCAAGGGGACGGAGAGGAAGGAGGGGATGATGACAACCAAGACGAAGAACAAGTGGATGACAATGGAGGAGGAAGTCAAGATGGCAGTCAAGGTGATGGAGAGGAAGGAGGGGATGATGAAAACCAGGACGAAGAACAAGTGGATGACAATGGAGGAGGAAGCAATGATGGCAGTCAAGGGGATGATGAAGGGAATGATGACAACCAGGACGAAGAACAAGTGGATGACAATGGAGGAGGAAGTCAAGATGGCAGTCAAGGTGATGGAGAGGAAGGAGGGGATGATGACAACCAAGACGAAGAACAAGTGGATGACAATGGAGGAGGAAGCCATGATGGCAGTCAAGGGGACGGAGAGGAAGGAGGGGATGATGACAACCAAGAAGAAGAACAAGTGGATGAAAATGGAGGCGGAAGCAATGATGGCAGTCAAGGGGACGGAGAGGAAGGAGGGGATGATGACAACCAAGACGAAGAACAAGTGGATGACAATGGAGGAGGAAGTCATGATGGCAGTCAAGGGGACGGAGAGGAAGGAGGGGATGATGACAACCAAGATGAAGAACCAGTGGATGACAATGGTGGAGGAAGTCAAGATGGCAGTCAAGGGGATGGAGAGGAAGGAGGGGATGATGACAACCAGGACGAAGAACAAGTGGATGACAATGGAGGAGGAAGCCATGATGGCAGTCAAGGGGACGGAGAGGAAGGAGGGGATGATGACAACCAAGATGAAGAACAAGTGGATGAAAATGGAGGCGGAAGCAATGATGGCAGTCAAGGGGACGGAGAGGAAGGAGGGGATGATGACAACCAAGACGAAGAACAAGTGGATGAAAATGGAGGAGGAAGCAATGATGGCAGTCAAGGGGACGGAGAGGAAGGAGGGGATGATGACAACCAAGATGAAGAACAAGTGGATGACAATGGAGGAGGAAGTCAAGATGGCAGTCAAGGGGATGGAGAGGAAGGAGGGGATGATGACAACCAGGACGAAGAACAAGTGGATGACAATGGAGGAGGAAGCCATGATGGCAGTCAAGGGGATGATGTAGGGGATGATGACAACCAAGACGAAGAACAAGTGGATGACAATGCAGGAGGAAGTCATGACGGCAGTCAAGGGGACGCAGAGGAAGGAGGGGATGATGACAACCAAGATGAACAAGTGAATGACAATGGAGGAGGAAGCCATGATGGCAGTCAAGGGGACGGAGAGGAAGGAGGGGATGATGACAACCAAGATGAAGAGCAAGTGGATGACAATGGAGGAGGAAGTCATGATGGCAGTCAAGGGGACGGAGAGGAAGGAGGGGATGATGACAACCAAGACGAAGAACAAGTGGATGACAATGCAGGAGGAAGCAATGATGGCAGTCAAGGGGATGATGAAGGGGATGATGACAACCAGGACGAAGAACAAGTGGATGACAATGCAGGAGGAAGTCATGATGGCAGTCATGGGGAAGGAGAGGAAGGAGGGGATGATGACAACCAAGACGAAGAACAAGTGGATGACAATGCAGGGGGAAGCAATGATGGCAGTCAAGGGGATGATGACAACCAGGACGAAGAACAAGTGGATGAAAATGGAGGAGGAAGCAATGATGGCAGTCAAGGGGACGGAGAGGAAGGAGGGGATGATGACAACCAACACGAAGAACAAGTGGATGACAATGCAGGAGGAAGCAATGATGGCAGTCAAGGGGATGATGAAGGGGATGATGACAACCAGGACGAAGAACAAGTGGATGAAAATGGAGGAGGAAGCAATGATGGCAGTCAAGGGGACGGAGAGGAAGGAGGGGATGATGACAACCAAGACGAAGAACAAGTGGATGACAATGGAGGAGGAAGTCAAGATGGCAGTCAAGGGGATGGAGAGGAAGGAGGGGATGATGACAACCAAGATGAAGAACTAGTGGATGAAAATGGAGGCGGAAGCAATGATGGCAGTCAAGGGGACGGAGAGGAAGAAGGGGATGATGACAACCAAGATGAAGAACAAGTGGATGACAATGGAGGAGGAAGCCATGATGGCAGTCAAGGGGACGGAGAGGAAGGAGGGGATGATGACAACCAAGATGAAGTACAAGAAGATTCTAACAATGGAGGGATGATTTATGATTTAATGCCACATTAAACTTATGATGTTAATGACCTACACATTAACACTTTTTTCTTTTAACTTTTTTTTTTCTGGTGTAAGATTTTAATGCATGCCTTTTCACTGCAGTCATCACTGGTTCATAAAAATTATTTTCTGGTGACTGTCCAAATGTATTTCGGTCCCTAAAACTGCAGTAACTTTTACTTTTTTCAGGACCTTCTCCTACAAAATATTTGATTGTGTTCAATCATTGAAACACTAACACTAGGAGATTTGGGTCTAAAGTTTTAGCATTTTTTACAGTAAGTTTCTTAATACTGTCAAGTTTAGACCCTTTAAACAGTTAAAATCATGATCATTGCAAAATGAATTTGTGAGGTAAATGTTATTTGATTCGTGCAGTTATGCACAGCACAAAAGCCTTTCTTGTGAAGGCATTAACCATCAGGTTTTCTGTAATAAGATGCTGATAAATAGTATGTTTATCTTTTGTGACAGTTCTTTATTTTGGTGTTTCTGAATTACAAAAAACAACTTTTAAATCAACCAAGAAAACAAATAATGACTGTGTTCTAACCCTGGGTGATCACTATTACCAACATCCTTCAAGACTTTCCTTCTCATGTTGGCATTCATAATCAATAACATGTACTATTATAATAAGTATTTCTAATTATCATTAAACAAATTTCAGCAGCTTAACTGTCTCTTGTGTCTATGATTCTTTTTAAACTTGGTTATTGACTGCCAACTCCAGAAAGGCACATGAATGTTTTTGAAGACTTGAATTACATTTAAATATTCATACATAGGACAGTAAAAGCGAGTCATGTTATTTGAACCAGGTTTCACTGGACGTATACTGTAGGTAAGGGCATTGTGTCTCCAACTACAACTGAGACAAATATTTCAGGATATGGTGCATCAAGGAATTATCGCTTTACTTCTAAAATCAATTCAGGTCAAAATAAGTGTCCAAGTCTTTAGAGTTTTTTCTTTAATCAACCTCCCTCTTATGGGGGGTAATTTGAGCTGTGGTAGAGGATAGGATAAGCCAAGAGGTGATAAATTATTCCACTCTCATTGTGGAGAAAGTGCTGCCTCTAGTCCTGTACATGAGAAAGTAATGTTTTTGGACAGTTTACTAACTGTAATTATTTGCATATAGAAATATCTTTGCAATAATATGGTGTTCAAATGTAACACCTTGGCGCATATCTGCTTCAGCTTTTCCCCATGAGAGGGTATATCTTTAAGTGTCTCATAGTGCATGTTTTCTATTTACAAACCCCATCTCCAATTAAGTTTGGACTCTGTGTGAATAAAACAGTACAATGATTTCGAAACATTCACACATATTTTTAATTGAATACACTACAAAGACAAGATATTTAATGTTAAAAGTAATATCCTTTATGTATTTATTTATTTATTTGGTAAATATTCGCTGTCACGACCAGCCTCACAAGTCACAACAAAAAAACAAAAAAAAAAAGGGGGGGGGGGGGGGGGGGGTCACGATCCACCAAAATTAGGATGTTTTATCATAAATTGAATGTCTCACCAACAAAAGGGATGAGGTGTGCGCTTCAATTGATCAGTGACTCTGCTGTTGGATGAGTTAAAGAGGTGCATGTGCAGCTTATTTTCAGGTTTAAAACTCAACCACAAAGAGGGCTGAAGCCAACTAGACATAACCATTTTATTCTTTTATTCCTAGGAAGACTGGCCAGGTACTCCCAGCTGTGTTGAAACCCTGCCTACCAAAAACTTGCAAAGAAACAAAGAAAACCAGGAGGAGGAACTGACATCAAGCCCAGTCTAGGCATTAGGATCGTCACATTACTTATTTTATATGTGTTGCTGCACAACGCTACAGGGAAGCTAGGACAGGGTCATATTAACCACTGAGTTACATTACCTTTCCTTTACCCAACACTCACCAAACATCTTAATAAATATAGTTCAGTCCGGAACACTTTGTCAAAAATTTAGCTTTAGTGTGCAAAGTTAAATTTGGCGGCATGATTCTGTTTCGGGTCCCTGCCCTTCCACGCGCTTGCATGGAGCCCCTTCCTGCCCATCACGAGCCATCATGAAAGGCGATAGCAGGGAGCGCATGCAAGGTTCTGTTCGAGGCCCCCTGTTCTCCACGCTGGCATGGGTGAAAGGATAGCAGCAGGAACAGCACCTTCCCACTCTCCATGAGCCATCATGAAGGCAGAGACAGCAGGGGGTAGAGCAGCGATGAACAGAACCCCCTCCCCAAAACAACCATGCCATGGAGCAAGCAAGGGGAGGTGAGAAGCTAAGGAAAGAGAGAGACGGGTTAGAGAGACTTGTTGCCAAAGCATGAATAGTTATCTGCAGAGTATTTATTTGTATATTTCATTTAATTGACATCTCTGTGTCAAAGTTATGGGTACTCATAGTTTTTGGGCTTCTAGAATGTCCTGAGCCTTGGGGTGCAGATAGCGTTAGTACGTGGCTGACGACCATCTGCCCATGGCTTTTAGGGTGGACACAGGAGCCATCATAGCTGCGGTTTTAGCTGCACCTATGCGAAAGGAATGAGCTGTATAGCGATCTGAAGGATGTGTGGAGGGCGATCAGCCAAGCTGTCATCTGACTGAGGGCTGGCTTAAGATCAGCTGACTCTAACCTTTAGCTTGACTGTAACCTTTGTGTCCTGTCTAAACTGCAGCTATACTTAATTTCAGTCTTTAGTTAGAATTAGTTATTTATTACTAGCAAACATTTTTAACTTTGGCGGTAAGGCTCTGTTCTGAGAGTTCCCTGCTCTTTCATGCGCTTGCATGGAATCCCAAGGCTATGAGAGGGATTGTCCTCCCTTCCCTTTCATGTGCATACGAAAAGCCAAGGCAGAAAAAGCAGCAGCGAATAAATAAAATTAAGGTAAATTACGATCCCCCAAAACAACCATACCAGACAACCTTTCGGCTTTCATGTGCTACAATACAGCCGGGGCAGGGGAAGCAGCGGCAAAAAAATTAAAAGTCCCCCAGAACAAGTATACCAGGCAACCCTCCCCAGCTTTCACAAGCTACATGAAAGCACCTACAGGGGAGGGAGGGCAGCTAGCTGCGAGAAACTATGAAGCAACCTAACCACCTCCAAAGCTGGCATAGTATTGGTTACCCGCACAACATGATCATGGATCAGGATTAATTTAATCCATACATACATTTAGAATTGGCAATATACTTAAGAATACAATAGATATGGGACAAAATTATGGAGCAGCAGCATTTTTTAAAGCACTCATAGCTAATTGAGCATAGGAATATTCTTTAGCCTCGGGCCTGAGGTATCATTCAAAGGCTGATCAGGACCATTGACCTGTAGCCTTGAGCGTCTGGATGGGGACAATGGAAGATGCAGTTGTAGCTGTGCCTATGCATGGTAAGTGCGTAGAGTTGTACTCGGGTAGGAGCCAGCAGGATTGGCAGAGCAGGCAGAGGTGAGCAGAAAACCATGATCTGGATAACTGGCAAAGAGAGACTCTTGCTGGCTGGCCAGTGGCCGGCCTCTCAGGCAGCAGGACATGGAGGACAAAAAACAAAGAGAGAGTGAGTTCAAGAAATATAAAAAGGGTGCGAGATTTAAAACAGTGGACTATTAAAGCACATACAATGGATATATTTAGGGCGTTGAAGCTACAGAGAAGGTGGTACAAAAGAGGTAAAGTGAGACCATGCAGAATCGAATAACTTTAATGCTGATTTTGCTTAACCAGCTCTCATGTAGCTGGCAGCAGAGAGCACTTAGGTTTGCAAGGCTGCACTCAGACTAACACAGTCTGAATGAATGGCTTCACGAACAGCCGTTGGGATGCTTTGCCAGTGCCTTCCCCAGCTCAGGGACATTTGACAGAGTAGACAGCTTTATTCTCTTTCCTGTTTTACCAGGTGGGTGCGTCTTGGGCATGCTGATTTCAGATGCCTGTTCCTGGAGTAACTTGGCTTCTCTGAGTGGTAGGCTTTGAGAGGCTTGGGTGGTTGGCGTGTAGCCACAGTTTTAGAGCACAGATTAGAGGTGTGGGCAGGGGTGAAGGTAGGATAAGGTTCCTCCTTAGACTTTGTACAAGAGGAGCACACCCAAGTTTAGCAAGGTGCTGATTATGATGCCATAGTATCATCATCTGCTGTATCTCTCTCTCTTGAACATAAATTAATTTTTTTCTCTGCATTTTGTCTTATTCTGCATTAAGATTGAAGCAGCTGACTCTTTAAAAGTTCCCTCCTTCCGCAAAAGGCTGGAGGTGGGCCCCTGCGCCTAGGCAACCAGCATCCAATCAAAAGTGCGCACTGAGTGCTCCCACTTCTGAAGTTTATTTGGAAGCAAACACCACTCACTCTCAAGCAGCATGGTCCTATTGGATTACTACCGCTATAACAAAGAGTGCAGACTGATGTGCGGCAACACACTAAGCCAAAATACATGGCAGAGATGAAAACTTTAAACTGCTGATTTTGTCTTCCCGAAACGGCGTTTCAGGAAGACAAAGACATTTGGCTCCGCGGATTAGATGTAATTGCAGCCACTTCCTAGGGTCCTTCGCAACATGGTGACACCGTCATGGTTGTCACTGGAGTGATGTCATCGTTCAGCGCAGTGATTGCAGGTGACAGCTGGGATGAAGGAAGACAGCTTAGAGCGTGCTGAACCGGATTCTGAGGCTTCGATCCCTGAAGACATGTGGGTGAGCGATGGCTGGATGCTGGATAGTGCTTTCAGGATGGGATTGTCATCCAGGTCTGCGGGTCTGATAGCTGGGGTTGGGCCTCTCGTCCTGCGGGCAACGGCGATGACGCGGCGGCTGAAGCTGGAACTGCCGTGACGCTGCAGGAACAGTATTTTCTCGGTCCCTTTTCTGAATACAGAGGAGGAAGAGAGAACTGCAAATGGAGGATCTATGTGGATATTTCCATAAACAAAGTGAAAGCTCTTGATGTGAGTCACTATCTGGAGCTGTGATGTTATTTTTGAAGGCTTCCAGGAACCTGGACTCC